AATTGGAAAGAAATTCTAAGTAAATTCATTGTTACATACCTCAATATCAAGCTTATTGACCCAAATGGGCAAGTTGGAATACGAGTGCAGATTGAGGTCATCCACAGCTTTCTGAACACGGCTGAGAATGTCAGAGAAGGTCTTGTGGTCGAACATGCAAGTCTCCAATGAGCGGACCTCTAGATCTATTTTCTCCTCAATCAGCAAGAGGTCATCCACCTGGAAGCAAGAAAATATTTGTTTAGCATGTCTGGCCTCTTAGCTGGCCTGTCATCTCATCCTGAACTTAAGCCACATTTAACTAGAGAATAACAACAGCGCCTCCTTTCTAACCTTCTCTTGAAAGTTGAAGACAGTCTCGGCCAGCCTCTGTACATAGGGGTCCAGCTTGTAGGACTCCCAGACGAGTGTGATTCCCTCTGTGACGAGAGCCTGAACCTCTTTCTTCAGCCCAGCCACAAGCAGAGAGATAGAGGATCTCTCTTCTACTTTCTCACAAGTACGCTCGTAGGTGCGCACGCTCTCAATCAAAGAGATCGCAAATGGGTACAGCTGATTAGCTTGGTGGGCTTTGTTGACAATAGCCAGGGGGACACGAAAGCTGAGCCACTTCAGGTTGCGGACCTCTTTGGACAAAGTGATGATCTCCGGGAGGAAGTTGACTTTAAGCTTGAGCATGTTTCCGGTCCTTCCCCGGGCTCGGGTGCTCTCAATGGTGAAGATCCGGCCTGACACACCAAGGTTACGCTGTTGCACCTAATTTTCAAAACAAAAGGATGAAATATTTATAAAGTAAATGTAAAAATTGATTTAGAAAAAAGAAATAAAAAAACAACCAAAATTGGTATATACCTTGCGAGCCCAGTCATCAAATATCTCCTGAGTATTCAGTTTAGCCCTGAAGCTGTCTCCATCCTGCTTCAGCTTCAGTCCCTCCACATGGTTCTCCCAGCCTTTCCCCAGAACATCCTCCACTCTCTTCATATAAGCAGTCAGCTGACGGTCGATCTGCTTGGCCCAGATGATGGAGCCAGACACGGGCGGCAGGTCTCGCACATGGCTCATCTTACAGGCCTGGCTCTGAGGATACTGCACTTTGAACTTGTCATGAAGCGACTCAATGTCATCTTTCACACGCTGGATGAGCTGCGTCTGATATTCTCGGATGGCACCACGAATGTGGGGGCGCACAAAGAGAGCATTGAAGCGGGAGAAGATGCGAAACATCTCATTGGCATTCTTGGCGGTTCCAAGCTGATCGCGCAGGCGAGCAGTGATGCGAGTCTCCACTCGGTCTATGCGTTCATCGTAGCGCTTCATGGCAGCTTCCCAGGCCTCCATGCCTTCCTTAGACACGTCCAAGCCATCAACTTCTTTGACGTTTTCATATGCCAGGTTGACCTCTTCGATAGCATTGGCATCTGCAGCATCAAAGAGAACTCCAGCTACCTTCATATCTTCAGGCTCAACTGTCTCTCCAGGAGCGTGCTGTGGCACTGCAGATACCTGTAAACAAACAAAGCGTCTTTCTCATGTTGTGATAAAACTAATAATAAATATCCTTTCCAGGGATGGTTCAAATGTTGCCATTACAGGTGCTGAATGTATTTCACCTGAGGCCTCAGCACACGAACAATGACAGCCCTCAGCTGCTCGTGCTGCCTTCTGAAACGCCTCATGTGGTCCAGTCGGGACTGAAGCTTCCTGTGTGCAGGGCTCAAACGCCACACCATCTTCAGGTTCTCCTCCCTCTTCCTCTTAACAATGTCCCTCAAAAGCACCTGCAGTTTCTCATACTCATCCTCCCAAGTCTGGAACACCTCGAAACAAGCCACCATTACCTGGAGACAGAACATTAATGGAAATTTAGGAACTTTTGCACCATTTTGGGGATAAACAAATTAACTGAAAAAAGCCCATAGTTCTGAAGGAAATCATAGCAATGAGATAACCTGCAAGACCAACCTTTTCAAATTCCTCATAGGCAACATGCATAAGCTTCCTGGTGCCCAACACCTTGAGGAGCTGGGAGCTCAAGTCCCTTGAGATGGCCTCCACAAGGCGCAGGGCTCTCTGGATGGGATACTTGGTGTTTCTTATCTTTTTCATGTGAGTAAAAATGGCTACCAAGGCTTGACGGATCTTATCAAGTTCTGATGCAGAAAGCAGGTCATTCAGAGGGAAGTCCTTCATCAAAGGATTGTAGTCATTAACAGTTTCCACTGCCTGTTTCAGACCTAAGGTGGTGGGGAGCACAGAATAAGACAAATTTGAATTATACTGCACATAAAAAACAAGCACTGTTAAAAAGGCCCATAATATCATATTCTTCATCACCAGTGTCTGTGTCAAAGCTGACAGTAGCATGGAAACGTTTGCCATGTTTAAGAATGTCCAGAGTGAGGAGAACCTCAGGGCTTTCCCTCTTCTCTTGGATCCTGTTGAGCGCTCTCTCCAGATTTAGCCAGAAACTGATCTCCTGCAAGGCTGTGCCTGAGGCCGGGTCACGGTCAAGCTTTGTCACCTAACAGGGGAGGTAGTGGACAGAAATAACAGATGCAGCAATGTTCATGAGGCGCAAATTCCTTTCTCTCTCCCTCCAATACCAGTAACTCATGTACTAGCACAATATTTAATCATTTTGAGACTAAAATAAGTTCACACTTTACCTTTTGGATCTCCCTGATCCAGCGATTAACTCCAGACTGAAGTTGGTTGAGGAATGTTGGGTCTTCCACTTTGTCGCCAAAGTCAGTGACCTTTGGCTTTTCCCCACGCTCATAGCATTGTTTGGCAACGTTTGAGATGATTGCATGGATGGGCAGGCTGATTTCAGGTATCTCAATGTTCTGCTGGAGGTGAAGAAGGCCCATCTCAAGCTCAGCAATCTTTTTCTCAACAGAGGGGGCCATCTTATCGCCATCTCTACATAGAAATGATGGAGATTATTTTCTTTTGGTCCATAACATTCCCCGCTTCATATTTTAATCCATAGATTACACATGTATAGCAACAGTACCTATCTGCTTTGCCAGACTTGCTGATGTAGGATTTGAAAAAAGGAGCAACGGCATTGCTGATGAAAGAGTGAAGAGTCTCATACGGGGAGTCCTCACTCAGAGTCAGGACGCGAACTTGGGTTGATATCGGTTTGTCTGCATCAATAACCCCTGTCCTCTTGATAAAAGCCAAGCTAAAAGAGAAAGGTCAACATATTTTTAACATAACAGGTGAACTTTAACTTAAGAAATACCAATGCATTATTTCTTAAAATCATACTTATGGAGTATACCACACAAATTGTATGTGCTTTCTAGTGAAATTTCACACTGTGCTCTCCTCCTTTCAGGGCATTAGATTAACCATTTACCTGTTGGACTTGATTCCATAGTGTATGTCAATGCTAACATTGTAGGTGATGGATTCCTTTTCCTCCTCCCCTTCATCTCCAACATCCTCTGTGTGGAGAACAAATTACAACAATTAACTTGAATTCTATTGTACAATTACTGTTCATTGGTCCCAATGTCACACCATCACCTAATCAAACACTACAGGCCAGATTACCCTGCTGTTAAAGCTTTTTTTTTGTATTTCTATTTGTTGTTAAAGACCAGATGACCTGAGCTGCCCTTCATAGACTGTGTAGCAGGAATGTCTGCTTGCTTCCATGTCCGCACCCTTCTTTGCTACTGCGGATTGCTGAGAGATATTTGAAAAACACTGCACTGTGCATTGCGGCATTGGTATTAGAGCTAAATCAGGACAATCAAAATACCACATGCTCAGACTATTGGCTGGTCATGTGTGTATCAAAGGACAAAGACTCAGCATCCGCATCAAAGGAAAGTGTCTCAAACGCTGTGGATCAATTGGCCTCTGGGATAATGAAAAGAAGGACCTCATTCTCAAAAGCAAGTCCACATGATAAAACCCAATTACTTTCATGGAGTATGACTTGCAGTTAGGACAAAAGGTCTATTTTTCTTAATTGCCCTGATAAAATAGCAGTTGCTAGTTTTGTATTCATAAATGCAGTGGCAAGTATAAACTAGTCTCCACCTTTCTACATCGTGTCATAAAAAGATAACCATAAAAGACATAATGACGTGCTATGTTTCCCCACCACACCCAATATGGCGCAGTTGCTTTATATTAAAAGAATGTAAATGTCTGACAAAGAAAACAGGAACTTTATCATACTTAACTCGTAAATAAACAGTGCATTAACCATTTCGTCGCCTCAGTGTATAAATTCCCATTTTAAGACTAACTGCGTGCACATCGGTTAATTTTGAGCAAATAGTTCTACTCAGTTAATGTCTCGATGTACCTTTGAGAGCACTCCTCTCGACCAGGATAGTGTGAATCTGGGGGTCAGCCAGGAATTTCTTCATCTGTTCAACGGCACTTTTCTCCTCCAGGGCGGTTTCCAGAGAGGCCGGGGCCTCGCCGCCATCTTCCAGGAGCAATGGTACCAGTTTCCGAATGTGCTTCTGCAAGACGGAGGTATCAGCGACAGTCTGAACGGCCGACACCTCCATGGTTCCGGAGTTTTCCTCCGTTGCCCCGCCGTCAGACATCCTTCGAAGAGGTCGACGTTGACCAGATACCGCGAAAAGATCAACAAAAGAGGAAGAGCTGTGACTGACTACGTGTCTGACAGTAGCGTCAGAGGGTGACTACCGCTGTCAAATCACCGCAAGGGTGACCGTTGAATTTATTCGTGCCAAGGATTATGGTCTTTGTAGTTCGAAGTTTGGGTTGAAAACACTTGACTCCTCATACGAAATACTACAATACCCAAAATGCATTTGAACTAATTTTTTTTTCCCTTCCTTGTTGTAATAACCAGGTATTGCAGTAGGGGGAGAAAGGGAGTTGTCTCCGATGATGCAGCAAAAATCCAGTCTTTTGTTATTACATTTGTTTTTAATTTTGTGGTTTTGATTTTGTTATTGTATGTTTTTAAATGCTTGTTTTGCAATATCAACCAGATCTGGTGTAAAACTGGTTGTTAAAATGTAAAGACAAAACACCACCTAAGTCCAGGTTTTTTGGTTTTATTGATTTCATTGCTGTACATCTTTCCCAAAACAGTGCTTATTTGAATAATGGGTATAGTCCATGAGATGTACGGTTTGTGGAAGAATTCAAATGCATAATCGTAGATGTGAAATTGGACAGCCGTTATTCAACAGGTAAAAACATAACAGAAATACCAAATTCCCAAAGGATCTAACATAGTAAGAATGACTAAAAAAATATGCCTCTTCTGTATGTATGCGTCTTAAAAAGACATAGATAGGAGACACTATGACATTGTGTTTTTATTAAATAGATATCAGGATACAGTAAAAAGTTTCAAAGACTAATCATAGTTAAAACCACTTAAAGCATACATAGCAGATAATGTCCCTGAGTAACAATGACACATTCAAAACGTCTACAACACTTTGTTGCTGGTTATGTGTCCCTCAATCATTTAATGTAACAGTACTAAATGGCTTTAAAGGGGATTTATGAAGCATAAGTTCAATAAATACAAAGAAAGACAGTTTTTCGCTGCCAACAAACCTTTGACAATTTGACTAGCAGCTGTTTGCACTCAGAGAAAACCTGATGTCACAGATGGGTGACAGATAAGAAGTTGTATAAAAATCAGAGCCAGTTTTTACTTTGCAATCTCTCCTGAGGTTCAAGCTTCAACTCCTGTACAATAGTAAACCCTTACCCTGTCCAAATTCCATAAAAAAAAATGTTAAAAGAAGAAAGTAGATCTATACCCCCAATTAGGCACTCAGTCCTCTTCTGGAAACTTGAATTTAGCATAGACAATTAGCATGACTATGGACATGAACACACACAGGGATCCAATCACAAGGTAGGCAATGCCCAGGAACTCATTCTTTCCACCCATCCAAGACACATTGCTGAACACCACTTTCTTTCTCCCATCAAAGCTCAGGACAGGATAGTCTGGGGGAACAAGCGTTAAGGATATTCACCAAGTAAATACACACAATGCAAAACAGTTTTTCCTGAACTAGAGTTGATCTGCAAAAATGCTCAAATATGTGCTTTAAAAAGGATTTAATTCCAGTATCAGAGTTACCAGGTCTTTCACAAAAGTCAAATGAGGGCAGATGACAAACATCATTTGCCTATCTTATTTACCTATGTCAGACCATTTGCCTGTTTTAGTTACCTGATGAAAATCCCGAGTCACTGCCTTCATTCTGACCACTTTAAAATTGAACACCTAACCAGTAAATAAACAACCTGATGTCATTTAACAGAAGGGCTTCAATATTTTTTACAAGAATCAAATTAACTTTGAATCTGCACACTCTTCACCATCAACTGATTCTGTCTACGTTAGCTAAAGAAAAATGGGCATGTTCCCAACTAAAAGATTGAGTTTCAGTATGTTGGCCCTTAACATGTCCATGAAATCAACTATAGGATTAATTTTCCACATTCCTGTATCTCTAAGCATCACTATTAGAAATAGTGTAATGCGTAACATGTAAAAGGATACTGTAGGAAATTTCAAGAGAATAGTTCCCAGCTGGTAGGCCTTCTTTGTAATCTTCATGTGTGATTCGTCGATACAGCTTTCTGAAATCTGGTAGCGCAGCCCTTCTCATCCATACCAGGAAGTCTTGATTGATGAAACCATTGTTGGTGGAGTCTGTGGGGTCCAGCTCATAAGCAGGCTTTGACCAAAATATGGGTTTCACGGTACCTGAAAGTGGAAATATTTACTCCTCCAAAATTACTTTTAACCACCAATGCTGAGACATAACAACATGGTAAACCAAAGTCATTACCATTGAAAGCATTCTTCAGAGGAGTAACACTGGGGTTTCTGTATTTGATATTATAGTCTGACCACCAAGCAATTCCTTTTCCATCAAGGGGCACCTGCTTCTTCACCCCATTGACGGTTTGATACAGCTTGAAGGTGTCTTTGGTACACAAAATAACACAGTTTAACACTTTTGTTAAGCGGCACCTAATCATCATCAACATAGACATCATCTGAAAAGTTATTTTCACACATACCATTGAACATGCTATTTGCTATTGACCCACATGGAACTATTGGGACGTTGTTGTCATACTCATAGGGTGAACAGGTGTCGCTGGGACTCTACAAGAGACACAACAAACTGTTTAAGAATCAGACAGCAGATAAATGTCGTAAACACTGTGTGCGTTTTCTCACTTGAAAATAATCCAGGTCTCCGGACAGCTGGTTATCGTCTTTAGACACCCCGTACCTTCTGTAGTTCTGGAAATAGTTGGTCAAGCCATAATAAAAGAACACAGGCCCCTATAGAGGAAAAAAACAGACCCACAGAAAGCTGGTCAAAGATCACTCAAAGAGTACTGTTTAACTTGAAGGCATTATGAAGAAAGGTTGTGTTGGAACCTTTAACAGGCGGTCGATGGAGAATTCCAGGTTGCACACACAGTTTTTCTCATTCGAGTTAGCACACCTGAAGCAGGGGGACTTTTGTTCCACCCCAGTATAGTCTATCTGTGTTAGAAAGAACAACATTTTTGTTTAATGAATTATTGATGGCCTCATGCCTGTAAGCAGACATTCATCAGAAAGGTGTCAGATCACAGAGATATTTTTTATTCATGTCAGCCCTGAAAGGACTCTGTCAATTGCTGTCAGATTCAAAATATCTCTCAGCATCAGTGTCCTACCTCCAACACCTGGATGCCCTGTGAGGTGACAAAGAGAGCGACCCCAATGCCAATGAATGCCAGACCGATGAGGACAAACCCAGGGATAACAATGCCTGCCGAGAGCATGGGCTGCCATGCCGGAAGCCTCTGCTGAGTGAAGGCAGTGTTGTCAGGCCGGTTGGACGACTCTTGTTCGTCTTTTACCATGGTTTCTCTCTGAAAGAAACGTAAAGCATTTATTAGCTCAAAAGTCTGTAACAGTTTTTACCTTACATTATACCTTAAAACAAGCTGCTGTGGAGTGTTACTGCTAGTGCATAAATATATATATATATATATATAACACTCCGACTTAAAGTTTAAATGGCTGTGCCTTTCTTTTCAACTCTCAAACGCTTTTGAGCTCCAAATTGGTTTTGAAACTTTGTAGCTGAGCTTTTTACTATAGCTGAAAGAACACACACCACACATAAATATTCCCTGTTTCGTTGACGGTACCTCGTAACAGGATTGTTGGAAGTGAATGATACTTACACGGAGTCGGCTCAAAATGGAGAGACAAAGAAGTCAACAAAACACAAATATTCTTTCCGTAGTGCGATGCAGCTGCTCACCTTTACCTGGCTACGCCCTTTCCCACCAATTCTTCCTGTCCTGCGCCTCTCTTTCGGCGGATGCGAGTTTCTCATTTGCAGAACTCAGAACTGCAAATCATTTTCACTGAAAACTCTTAAGTGAAGAAGTGGAGTGGAAACAATCAGCTTTGAAAAGATTATAATTATTTGACACATATGCAAGTTTAAATTAATATGTTTTTAATCAATCGTGCTGAAGTAAAAGTAAAGTTAATTAAAATTGTATTTATTTTTAGTCTGTGCTGTAAAACGCCTGTCTATTGATTGACGGAAATTATGTCCAATCGTAGTGTTGAATGGTGTTGTGTAACGTTTTCAGACAGTCCAATCACAGACGAGCTCGTTGAAAGAGGACCTGCAACTGTGCCGTCTTTGTGTTGACATCTTCGGAGGACTGAGAGGTATTATAGATATTTTCTAAAATATTTATTTACAATTTCTTTGAGGGAATACAATTACCATAGTAAATTAATGTAGCTTTATTTCAGTATAAGATTATCAATATCCATCTATGATAGCAAAGCTACCGCACCTGCTGTTAACCGCATCTCATTGTTAGCATCTGCTAACCTAGCATGGTCTCTAAATCGAAGGGTGTGCAATTTAAAACGAATATTCATTTTTTATTCAAAACGTTTACTACAGGTGGATAAAAACGGATTTAATTGATCTGAAAATTTTCCGCGGAAATCGCTTTGTGGTCATTCAAAACTGCACAGATCCCATGCTAAGTTAATTCGGTCCTGCTGCTAGCTCTGTTGTTGCTAATTAATGTTAGCCGATTCATTTAAAATGCCAATCCAAGAGAATGGCAAGAAGATAACGCGGATGATGACTAACGATCTAATTCACATTAAACCAAACTCTACGATCCAAACAGATGAGCATATTTTTTCACTATTGAATTATTTATTAACATTTTTGGGGGGAGAAAATGGCTAAAAAACGAAAGCTTTTCACAAACATGTCAACTGTAGCTCAGGGGATTTGCAAAAACTTTTTTAGTGTCATATTGAAAGGCAACATTTTTCTTAGTTGGCAGTGTTTATAATAATATCTCTGGTTCTGTCTTCATTTCTTAGTGTTTGAATGGATATTACCAGGTGTACGGAGAAATGGGTAAAACAAGACAAGGTTACTGTACCTTGGAGCTCTCATTTCATAAAACCCATGACATCCATGCTCAGTTAACATCGTTTCTATCATCCAGTGATCAGATGTGGTGTTCTTGGGTGATGTATTCCTCAAATATTATTCAGTACTTGGTGGCTGTAAATGAACATTAACAGATTCAACTGATGGAAGAGTGATTTCATCAAGCAGACCTCAAGGCTATTGGAAACGAGGGAGGCTTAGTCACTTATGCAGTTACACTTAAACATGTTATGCCTCTGTAATATTTGTATTGGGGGGTTTGAATGGAGTGCTTTTATCTCAGATCTAACTAATAATTTCCTCCGAGTGGTTGAGCTCCTCTCTTTCTCTCTTCAGAGCAATTGCCATGTTCCTGTTGTCAGTTAACCAGTGCAAAGAGTATACGGCATTGTAGAAATATCATATTTTGACTGTTGAGTCAAAATATTGTAAGATAAAAGTGTGCTGTAAGCATTACAATTTCCTTTGTTTGTTGTTCACTCATTTTAGCACATCTGTACTTAGTATCTGACAAAGTCCTGCACAAAACAACTCACACTTTAAATATAACTTTGTTTGCCCTTATGACTCACTCCTCATCCTTTTCATCCAATGGTTTCTAATATTGTCATTTATTATATTTTTCTGAGCATTTGTGTTTCAACCATTTCATCCCCCAACTTTGTCCAAGTTAATTTTTTTCTTTAACAGAAATAAAGGATTATATCTAATTGATTTTGGTTCTTATTCTCTATTTGATCAGGAGAGGCCTCCGACATCCTCCATAATGCTTTCCAGCAAGAAATCCGATGCTGGATCCTCTTCCTCCTCCTCGTCATCGTCTGTTGGAACAGCTGGGGGTGAAAGGGCCTTGGGCTCTGATGCCCAGACGGGTCCCTCAGCTTCGGCTGCTGGAGCTCTGGATTCAAAGAAGAAGGAGAGGTCTTCCCCCAGTGGGGAACCTGGAGGAGCCTCTTTCCCCCACCAGTCAGGTCCTGGTGGGGCAGATCAGGACTCAGCTGAAGTCCGTAGAACGAGTCGACGCAAGCGAGCAAAAGTAAACATTTTAGGTTTCTGCAGCCTCATTAGATGAGGATTTTATTCGAGACAGATTCTACCAGGGTTTGAATTGACTTCATTTTCTCTGTAGTCTAATTCTTCGATTTGTGTGAATCAAGTGTTTGTTGTCCATAGTGGGAGGTAGAAGAGCCTCCCCCCCTTTTTTCCTGTGTTTGCAGTGGTAGGTTAACCATCTTTTTTGGTTGTGACAGTTAAGGCTTCAGGTGTGCGAGTGAAGGACCAAACTGCTGGAATGCCGGTTTTAATGATGCTTTTATTGTGCCTACTGTTGCAGGTGGAGTACCGCGAGATGGACGAAAGCCTGGCCAACCTCTCCGAGGACGAGTACTATTCTGAGGAGGAGAGGAACGCCAAAGCAGAGAAAGAGAGGAAGCAGGTCATCCCTCCTCCACCTCCACCCCCTGAGGAGGAGAACGACAGCGAGCCCGAAGAACCATCGGGTGAGTCTGACTTTTCAGAATGAAACCGTCTCTGTTGAGGGGAGAAACTTAAAGTGTGTTTCTGCTGACATTGTTTTAAAAAAAAAAACAACAAAAAAAACAGCTTAAACCATATTGATATTTTACCGTGTGACTTCAGGACATGTTACACATTTTTGGGTTTATCTCAAGGTTTAGAAGGAGCTGCTTTCCAGAGCCGTCTTCCTCATGACCGAATGACCTCCCAAGAGGCTGCCTGCTTCCCTGACATTATCAGCGGTCCCCAGCAGACTCAGAAAGTTTTCCTCTACATCCGCAACCGTACAGTATGTATCATTTTTAGCTCATTTTTTTGGGTCTGCATCATGATGGTAATTGTTCTCCATGATGATTAACACTACAATTCCATTAAACTTATTAAGATCCAACTGTGGCTGGACAACCCTAAAATTCAACTGACCTTTGAGACCACAGCGCAGCAGCTAGAAGCTCCATACAACAGTACGACATGAAATTAATCAGGATTCGTCCGCCGCTTTAATATGTTTTCTTTTTAATGTAGAAGATGAAATTTAGATTTAATGATCTTCTCTCTTTTTCTCTGTCTGTATAGGCGATGCTGTGTTGGTCCACAGGATACACAGCTACTTAGAAAGGCACGGCCTCATTAACTTTGGTATTTACAAGAGAGTCAAGCCTTTACCCAGTAAGTTCATTAATTTTAGCGACGCTCATTGTGATTACGTCATTTGGACAAGAATGAGTATCAATGCATCATCAAACACGCTTCCTGCTTGCTGTTACAGCTAAGAAGACTGGGAAGGTTATAGTCATTGGTGGGGGTGTGTCTGGTCTAGCTGCGGCCAGGCAGCTGCAGAGCTTTGGGATGGATGTGACGGTGCTAGAAGCCAGGGTAGGTTACCAACAGGATTTCGCTTTTTTTAATGTACTTTTCTTACTAGTTTGTTGTTATCATATAATTTTCTCTGTCTTCATACGCCTTTTCAAGCCTACATCTTAAAACTTTACAATTCCAAGAAATGTGTGCATTAATGCAATATTTCTTTATGTTAATAAATGTATTACTTATCATTCCCATGAAGGATCGTGTCGGAGGCAGAGTGGCAACATTCAGGAAGGGCAATTATGTTGCAGATCTGGGAGCCATGGTTGTTACAGGGCTGGGTAAGGAAACATGAATATATACAACTTCAATTCAAGAGACAGACAACACACGTTAGTTTGTTGTCTGTTGGTCTGGATAGGAAACTACCAAAGAACCTTTGCAGTGATCTTGATCATCCTGCAGAGGGCGATAACTGCACACGTAAATGCAACATTCTTCTGTTTTTGTGTGCTTGGTCAGGAGGGAATCCTATGGCTGTGATCAGCAAACAGGTCAATATGGAGCTGGCCAAGATCAAACAGAAGTGTCCTCTGTATGAAGCCAATGGCCAGGCTGTGAGTATAACGTAGCTTACCAGTAAGATTATTTTGCTTCTTGCACATTGTCATGCTAAAGCCTTACCCATCATTAAGGTAGGTAGTTGGAACCTCAGAGAACTTTAGTTCTCTGAGGTTCAAAGTCATGATAGTATAGATCTATAAAAACACGTATGACAGTTGGTAAGAGGCTAATAGCTGTACAGGCCTGCGTGGTGCTTGTTATATCCAGCTGATTGAAAACATAATTGCTTGTCTCTGTCACTGACATTCTTACTGACACACCCTTTCACCATTCCCAGTGCTGGTAGCAAAAGTATGTAAATTATCTTATTTAATATCTTGTCAAAGTCCCATTGGCATCGGTTCCTGCAGAGATCAGATCAGTGTTCAGGAGGAATGTCCAATGCCTCACCATGTCAACTCTGTTTGGTAAACCAGTTCTTACCTAATGCAGCACAAAACATCTATGAGCTATCAGATGGGCGTCCTTTCATGTCTCTGTTTTTCCCCTGATGCTTTGAGGTAAACCTTATACATCTAAAATCCTTTGGGTTAAGGCCCAGGCTTGGTCTGGCTTTCCGAAAGGGACATTTGGTCAAATTATTTGTTTGGTTTTGTTCAGATTTCAGGTTTTCCAGCTTTAATGAATTCAGTTTGTTAGGTTAGTTTTTAGTTCACATCCAGCTTTCATCACTGGGGATAAGTGAATTAAGTATTGACTTTGGTTATACTAAGGACTGAGTACACAAACACACACACACACATAAATATTATGTAAATATATACATGTGTGTGTCAGCTTGCTTAGGGCAGCCAAATTTGTGCTGTTTCACAGTTAGTGCCAAATGCAGTTTTTATTAGTATGTAAACAACACACTTCAGCCCTGTGGGTTTAAAAAAAAAACAACTTTCTGTTGCTTGATGGGATTTTACATGCATGAGTGCATGAGAGGATTTCTTACCTGTGCTAATATCTGCTCCCCAGGCCTGTCGCTGTCTCCAGGCAGGGATCTGGTTTTCCACAAGCCACAAAAACACAGTGAATTGTAAAGTCATTTAACTGCTTAACCTTGCGTGGCATCAGCCGCTCTATTTCCTCTCCGGACAGAGCAGGCCAGAAAACGGATGCAGCTTAATGTCATTAAATTCGGAATAAGCACTTTTTTTCCCCCTCCTCCTCTCAGTTTTGTAGTCCATTAAATGGCTGTAACATCGGTAGGATGTTTAGTTGTTTCTTTTTTTCTCCCGGAACACGTTCTTTGAAGTAGGGAATAGACTGCAGGGCTCTTGAAGCATCCACATCATGTGTAACTGGTTTCCTCCTCTGGAGGAAAAAAGCTAATTAAATGTACATGTTTGACTTTTTGTGAAACCTGTTTGAGGTTAAAGTTGTGTTTACTCAACATGTTCTCTTCTCTCTCTCACCCCCCTCCCCCCTCTTTTTTGTCTTTTCAATCCCTCCTGTGTTCATCTTTTGGTGAACCGCTAAAGGGTGAACGGTGCACAAGTGTATGTATAAGTTTATTTTCAATCTTTTACTGAGAAACCTTCATCTGTCTCTGTTTGACGTTCACTTCCTGTAACCATTTCTCATCCATGTAGCTGTCAAGGACAAACCATTTTCTAATTCAAACCATTATCTATTATAAAGAATTCATTAGATTTAAAGGTGCATCCAGACAGTTAGTCAGTTTTAAAATGTTTAGCTTTTTGAAAAATTCTCCTGAATTTGAAAGAGTTTACTGTTCTTAGTCCAAATTATAGCTGCAGTCCAATTTAAACAGTATATATTAAGTCATTACTGCAAAGAAAATCTGTATTCATGTTTTCCCTTAAAGCTTCTGTTTAGCAGCAAGTGGCAAATTTTCAAGATTTGGAGACATGTCACAAACTAACTGCATGTATATGAACATGTGACATATTGGGAATATTAAAATTAGCATTTTCTCATTAGTGGAAAAGCGTGTGGTTTGATTCGTAGAGACATCTTAGTTCACACAACAGTTGTTTCCCCCCCCCTTTTCTTTTTTTTTTACATTCGATCCAACATCCAGAGGATCTGCATGTTGTTTCTTTTTAAGTGCAGCTACAAAATAGTTGTTATATATTGTATTTAATGATAAACAAATTCCATAAATTCTTGTCAAATTTCACCCATTTCTTTCTCTTTCCTACTTGGGCTTTCTGTTCTAGCTCTTGGGATTCTTCAAGCTCTAATTATTCACTTGTTTTTGGTGAGAATCGTGCCACATTTGTCATTGTGTCCGCAGGTCCCAAAAGAAAAAGATGAGATGGTGGAGCAAGAGTTCAACAGACTGCTGGAGGCCACGTCCTACCTGAGCCACCAGCTGGACTTCAACTTCCTCAACAATAAACCTGTTTCTCTGGGACAGGCCCTGGAGGTGGTCATCCAGTAAGTGTGGTGAACACGACATGTGTTCATGCTAGCAGCCGCATTCTGTGAGGGATGTGTGTAGACACAAGAAAAAGTATCTAATCCTGCACCTGTGTCTGCAGGCTGCAAGAGAAGCACGTAAAAGACGAGCAGATTGAGCACTGGAAAAAGATTGTGAAGACTCAGGAGGAGCTCAGGGACCTGCTCAACAAGGTGGGCAGAAGTCAGGTGACCTGTTGTCAGCGGCGGCGGCCTGTGAGGTCGTCTTTGTCGCCGTTAACCCTCCTCCGCCTGTGCCCCTGCCTGTCAGATGGTGTCCACCAAGGAGCGTGTCAAAGAGCTCCATCAGCAGTACAAAGAAGCGAGTGATGTCAAGCCGCCCAGAGACATCACAGCCGAGTTCCTAGTGAAGAGCAAGCACCGGGACCTCACCGCGCTCTGCAAGGTGAGCCCCAGGAGCCCCACGGCAAAGCCCCCGCGTTTCCTCACAGCCCACGCACCTCCTTTCCTGCAGCTGTTACTTTATCTGGCTGTGCGGACGCGAGTGCTTCGACTCCCATCGCAATTAATGCCGAACCCCGTTTTCATACGCTAACTAAGATTTCCTAAAACCCCAGAAGCAGATGCGGCCAAAGATCAGGAGCTGCAAAGTCTGCAGGAAATGAAGGAGAACAGCTGTGAAAGAAATCTTTCATAACAGCATTACTACGCAGAAGCACCTCTGCATGTTAACGGGGATGTTTTACAGACTACTAGATCCGGGTAGATGCATGAAAGAATGGGAATGCCGTGCTGTCTATGCAGGACAGACAGGCTGTGTTTAAGTTGTTTAATGTCCCGCCCGGATGTATTATTAGTGAGCGCTGGTGTTTTATTTCTGGTGCGGATAAATCACCTCCACTGCCTCTGCGTGTATGTTTTAGAGGGAGGTTTTAGTTGGTTTAAACACAGCTGGTATCTGAACTTGATTTGTCTGCGACCCGTGCACAGTCTGAGAAACCACTTCAAGGCTTTGGATCACGCTCCGGCGCTCTTTACGTCTGCACTCACTTTGAACAAGACAGACAGAGCATTTAAGAGCCCGCATGCTCCGGGCGAGCCTCTGTGAGCAGGCCGTAGGACAAGCTTTTAAAGGCAGCCAGGGGCCGGCTGTTTAACTCGGTATATTTTTGTTTGGACACTTCATGGTGTTCTTACTACTTTTAGTGTTTCCCCGGGACAGCCGGCTCCCTCAGAGCCTGTTTCTTTGTAGGTGGTATAACCAGACTTTGCACTCTTCTTCTCGTTTACTCCGTTGTGTTAATCTGACGAACAGGTTTGTCAGAGCTTTTTGTCTTTTCTAGGTGACCTGAAACCCTGTTGGGTGTGTGCCGCCTTGTGTTTACACACGCCACACTTACGCTCATGTGGTGAAGACATGACCTCCCAAGGGTCAGTTGGATGTGGAGTATCGGTCAAGCATTATTGCAAAAACAAATTTCCTTGGCATTGTTGTGAAACTGCCCTGTGATGTTTCATTTCCTCATTCTTAGTGTGTTTTTGGTATACAAACACCAGATTTACTTCCTTCAGTGGAATTTTACAGAGTTGGCAAAAAATAAGATGGATGTGCAATGCAACATACTTTTTTCTTTGTGTGTGCACTTTGTCGTCATGTAGGAGTATGATGAGCTGGTGGAGATGCAGGTGAAGCTTGAGGAAAAACTCCAGGAGCTTGAGGCCAATCCCCCCAGGTAACGCCATCACATTATTGAGGTTTCGTGCCGGTCCATTTTGGTACTGATCAGAGTCTGTGTGACCGCCCACTGAAGCGGCACACACGTGCGTTAGGCACGCCTTTATGCGTGTCAACAACAGAACAGATAAATCTGTATTTTTGAGTACAGTCCTGAAACTGAAGCACTCCCAAAAAATATGGGTGTGACATTTACGCCCTAGGCTGTTTAAGAAAAGACTGAGAGGGACTCCAGAAGCCAGAAGGCTGACATCAGCTTCTGATGTAAACATCAGTATTGATCTCCAGAAGTTGTGATCACAGCCTATGCAGGTTAAACTTGTCTGTCTGAGTTGGAGCATTATGTGGCGTCAGCGAAAATAGTTGTAAAATATTTGCTAAGCAATCTTTCCCTGCGCTACGCCCTGTGGCCTTGCACCTTTCGTTTTCGGCTTCTTTAATAAGATGTATTGTTAAATCTGCAGCGGTTTGAGGGGAGCTGGCGTGTACACGTGAGAATCTCTCCTTCGCATGTCTTCATACTTCCTGCAACTTTCCCTTGCCTCTTTCCCACAGTGATGTTTACCTCTCATCGAGGGATCGGCAGATCCTTGACTGGCACTTTGCCAACTTGGAGTTTGCCAACGCTACACCCCTCTCCACTCTGTCTCTGAAGCACTGGGATCAGGTACATACATGCACGCATTTCGAAATGTCTCGTCTGTGCACAGGGAAAAAACGGTGAGCGCTGCAAAGGAATGGAGGCATTTTACATTTACTTACACGTGACAACAATGTTAGCTGTGACTAACCTCCGACATTGGGAGGTACATGGTGCCAGGGGGTTGATGAGTGATGCGTATCTCCTCAGGATGACGATTTCGAGTTCACTGGCAGCCACCTGACGGTGAGAAATGGCTACTCCTGCGTCCCTGTGGCCCTGGCGGAGGGTTTGGACATCAAACTAAACACAGCAGTGCGGCAGGTCCGATATACGGCATCTGGTACGTGCACGAAATACGTGTGTGTGTGCGAACTTTATCCATGCAGTGTTAATTTAAATGGTCTGCTTTCCTTTTACAGGCTGTGAGGTGATAGCCGTCAACACCCGCTCCACTACTCAAACCTTTATCTACAAGTGTGACGCCGTGCTGTGCACGCTGCCCCTCGGTGTGTTAAAGCAGCAGCCCTCCGCAGTCCAGTTCGTCCCCCCTTTGCCAGAGTGGAAGACTTCAGCCATACAGAGGATGGGCTTTGGAAACCTCAACAAGGTTGGACATCTACAAACAGACGGCATGAGCTTGTGTTACTTTACCATATTCGAGACAAAATCAGACTCACGATCAGACAAACGTGTGCTGAATGGCTCTGACGGTGAATAACTGGGACAGTGGTAAACCTCCACCCATCCGGGAATCATGAATACCAGCTGCAGAGATGTGCCACACTTCGTGCACTCTTATCTCAAAATGACTCATCTCATTCAAACCGGAGCTCTAGTTGTACATTGTTTACTGTGGTGTGTTTGCAGCTGCAAACATTATTCACTCGCTTTGGATGATCTCACGTTGACCTTCAGCTACCAAAGAGGCCCCAGTAGACAGTTTACAGCTTTATTTTCCTCTAAAGGGTTGTCAGTTAGTGGTTACATCTTTTGTCTTTTTTTTTTTTTTTTTTTCCTCTGTGTGTCATATATTAGTACGAGCATGAAATCTGACATCAGGGGTTCCTCCGCAGCCTGAAAACAGGCTCTGGTAGCTCGGTTGTGTTGGCGCGTAGGACGGCGTGCGGCCAGCTGAAAGCGGGGGCCCGTCGGCGTGAGCGCTGATCTGGTGCTCGTTCTGCGCCCCCCCCGATCCACCTCCTCTTGCACTCCCTCCGCTGCTCCGCATTATCCGCAGCAGGATGGTTCAGGGGTCTGGTAACGCTGCCGCAGCACAGAGCAGAATGCTGCATTATTATGCAACCCGCGCTGCCGCCGTGCGCCCAGCAGAGGGCGCTCCACCCCCCCACACCCCCCGGGCTGCTTTAGAAATAATAAGCAGCCAAGGTGCAAAACAGGACAGCCTTCACAGACTGTGAGACTTTCGTTCTACTGAAATGAGCTTTTACCTTTAGCATGACTTCTTCTCCCCCCCCTGTCTAAAGGTGGTGCTGTGTTTTGACCGTGTGTTCTGGGATCCAAGCGTGAACCTTTTCGGTCACGTCGGCTCCACAACTGCAAGCCGGGGCGAACTCTTCCTCTTCTGGAATCTCTATAAAGGTGACTTCTAATGCTTGTTTTAGATGAGTCGTGTTTTTAAGTGGCGTGGTAATCAAATTTGCACATTTTCCCGATCTCCCGAAGCGATTTTTAACTAAGAAGCATTTTTCAGCCCCGATCCTGCTCGCTCTGATGGCTGGAGAGGCCGCTGGCATCATGGAGAACATCAGTGACGATGTCATTGTCGGACGCTGCCTGGCTATACTCAAAGGAATATTCGGAAGTAGCGCTGTCCCTCAGGTTTGTTCATCACTTCTTAAAAAATAACTTGCTTACAATGATCTTGGAGCTTTTATCTTGCAGGATCGCACTATACGTGTTGTTTTTTCTAAATTTTATAAAGCATTTTCCTGCTTAACAGCACGTCTGATCTGCCATACCCCCCCTAATTTCTCTCAATATATCAAGAGGAATTCATTCCTGATTTCATCCACTTAACCACCACACAGAGAGCATATGTGAAAGCACTCGCAAGAGTCGCCGCATCCAAACCACCCGTCATTATAAGTTATTTGCTTATGGTTTTCGAATGGGAGAAGAATCACATGCATGCAAAACCAATGTTGGAAGCGTGCGCCATCCAGCTGTTTACAGGTCCCTCTAATGTCATGGAAACTCCTAAAATGTGTGCGGTGTTGTCCGTTGTCATGGCAGCCGAAGGAAACTGTGGTCACCCGTTGGCGTGCCGACCCCTGGGCGAGGGGCTCCTACTCCTACGTGGCGGCGGGGTCTTCGGGCAACGACTACGACCTGATGGCGCAGCCCATCACGCCCGGCCCCGCTATACCCGGAGCCTCGCAGGTATGTGTGTGTGTGTTTGGGTGTGTGAGAACGAGAGGGGAGAGGAGGCATCCCAGCCTGCCCACAGCACCCGACCAAACCAAACCAGAGCCAAGCAGTTTATTGCCAGCACAGATGTTTTTTGGGCTGTTTTGATGTTGGCACGCAGACTGATGTGAACAAGTTACGTGTCGACAGAAGGCTTCTAAAAAGGGAATGCTGCCCTCCTCTCCCGCTCAGCCATCTAGACCCCGTTTTCTCTTTGTTCCCTGTGGAAGACTAACACTGAAATCTTTTTTCTTCTCCCCCCGTCAGCCTGTTCCCCGTCTTTTCTTCGCCGGCGAGCACACCATCAGAAATTATCCGGCCACAGTGCACGGCGCCCTGCTCAGCGGCCTCCGAGAGGCCGGGCGCATAGCGGATCAGTTCCTGGGTGCCATGTACACCCTCCCCAGACAGGCCACGCCCACTGCCACCACCAACCCTCAGCAGGCTCCGCCCACCGCCAGCGCCTGACCCGGCCTCTCTTGTACAGCAGCTGTAAATGTAGGGGGTCCCCCTGAAACCCGTAACGTTTGTTTGTGAACGGACTCGGAAGTCCCAGATATAACTTTGTATTTTTGCCTTCAGACTACAATAATGACGCAGTTGACTTTCTTCATCGGGGGCATTTGAGCTGGTGTGCCAAGTAAAGTCTGAGTGTGTACGAACAGTATGGGCAGCCATTTCACTTTTAAAGATGGACGCAGCCCAGCACAGAGACCGGGCTTCCCATCCAGCTGCAAGGAATCAATTCCATGTTATCTCATCTCAAAGTAATATAGTAATACATTGTGAATTATAAATGTGTGATTCCACTGTTTAGAAAAGCATGGGTTTACTTTTCGTAGTCGGAGCAACTCGATGTCTTTCATCTCGCGTGGACTCTGCCATTCATGAGCTCTTAACTAAGTTAAGGAAAGATGAAACTTTCTTTGCTAAATTAACACAAGCTGAAAACCTTATATTTTACACGTCAGCGAGCAACACGGCAGCACTCCCTCCATTTAGACCGATTGTGTTTTGAAAGACTTGTCCCCCAAGTGTAACACTAGAGGTCTGTCTTGGTTCTCCAAAGCTGATGAGATTTCCCTATACTGTAGCTTTATGCTTGGTACATTTGTTTTCTATCATTTAGGCAACAGTGTAGTGAGATTTTTTTTTTTTTTTTTTAACATAGAACTAAGAAAACTGGTTACGTCTAAAGAATTGTGAATGTTTTTGTTGCTATTGCAAGTTTCAGTAGTGTTTTGCCTGTCTTATTTTTTATTTTATTTTGTCAGATGGTTTGATATTAAAAGAAGACCAAAATCTTGGAATCTGTGGACATTTGTTTTTTTTTCTCCTTCAAACTGGAACGATATTTGACATTAGTTTTGCGGCGTGTACATGGCAGCTTCTGCTCTGACCCTCGGGTGACCCTCCTCCGTTGCAGGTCTGGCCACAGCCCAGGATCTGCGCTCGTGTTTGTGTGTGAGAGGCGGAGATGAGGGGTCCCTGGCAGCATCGCTGCATAGTGGGGGGATCTGATGAATGAGGGAGGCAGATAAAAATGGTCAGCCATGAGTTTTTCTGTGGAGCTGTGCTCCGGGGCTCTGTGCCCCTATGTTTCTCCAGCGTCACAGGCCTCGTCTCCCCCCGGCGCTGCGGTTATTACCGTGACCAGAGGGGATGTTTGATGTAGCGACAGTAATTGGCGCTGTGGTTTTGGACAGTGGCGCTCAGATATTTTCACTTCTCTGGTAAACCATGTGTCTTGCTGTTGACTAGTGAGGTTAATGCCATGACTACGTCCAGCCCACATCGCTGGAGCGGCGGACACAGAAAGCCAAAAGAGTTCAAGACCTTCCGGGTTAGAGAGCGCTGGTACAAAAACCTCCCTCATGATGCTGTATGCTTGTCCCAATTTGATTTCTATACTATTGATCCAGACTGAAACATGTAAACACATAATCAAGTTCTCCTGGATTTGAATCCAGACCTTGACTTTTAGATGCAAGATTCAGTATTTTTCTGCAAAACAAGTGATTCTCCCAGCAGCCTCAGCACTACTTTGTTATGGCTACTCAGCATGTCTTGGATCCCTTATCTACCTTATATCTGCATCTCAGCACGTTTACATTGTGAGCGTTAGCATTTTAGCTCACCCCTCTTGTGGCTTTAGACACTTGATTCTTTAGGTTACATTAAAAAAAAAAGAAGTAAAGCCTCTACAGTTATCAAGTTAACATTGTTTTATTTACCCTGGCCTTAAAGACACTTTGGATGTGCTTTAGAATAATCCTCCCCCTTAGAGTTCACTATACAGTCATGTTAAGCTCTGAGGTCTTTTTTCTATCTCCTTGTTTTCCTCCTCCACTCACCTGGAGCACGTCTGACTCATGTCCACGGTCGGTTTCACAGCAGTAATTCAGGTCGGGCATCAGTGCCGATCGAGCCTCACAAGTTCCAGGGTCCAAACAGGCCCTGGAGTGTTGTTTCACCCCCCTGCATCTGAATTTGGGACAGATTAAACCACAGGGGACTGTAGGGAGATTTAACCCCTGACTGACAAACACTTCAGCCCCGCATGATACAGAAAAAAGCACCTACAGGTGTTTGGCAGGACTGTTGGCTCAACTACTCAGTTGTGGGACACTAAGTGAAACTAGGAAAGTCATAGTTGTTTGACTAAATGTTCACAGTGGCTATTAAACCATTTTGAATTTCTAAGTTTCTACTTTATTCTCCTAAAACATATTCCACAACGATCTGTTTTTAAATAGCATAATTAACTAACTTGAATGGTTATAAGGTTATATGATGAGAAACTTTTATATACTGATGTAATAAAACATTTTGTGTTTAATGCAATTTGTAGCTTGAGATATAGACATTGTGTAAAAAAAAGAAAAAAAGGCAGCTGCGTTCACCATGTTGAGACTTGCATTGGGGCGTCGTTCTAAACCCTGCGTAAAGTTGAAATCCACCCCTAAGCGTAAGCTGAGGTATGGCAAAATGAATTCTAACTCGGTCCAACTGAAAATGAGCCTGCCGTGTGCAGAAGTCTGTTCATTAGCACACCAGACAGACTTTGATGGTTCTTTTACAGTTTTAGGAGAAGCAACGGTGGCCGTTGCAAATCGAGGCGTAGCTGCTTAAGAGAAAGATGTGTATGCTGACTTTGCATTCCACAGCAGCTTGTGGTTTTCCTCTTTGTACCCGACCAATTTGCCTCATTTGTCTGCCTGCTTATTTTGCATGCTGTCAGCTGTTGTTCTCTCCCTCTCCCCCTCTTGTACAGTCCAGGAGATTGGAGTCTCGCACACTCGCATATAAAGACTCAGAGGGTGTACCGCAATGAAATCTGAACTTGCTGAGCTTGTTCAGCAAATAAAAAAAGAAAAAAGAAAAAAAAAGAAAAAAAACTGCATGAAACAGACCAACACACACACTGTTAGGTTTCCAACAACTTTGTACTCATACACCAACTTGGAGATGTGTTACAAACAGGTAGCTTTTTATTTTTATTGGAATACATATGGTCGGCTGTACAGTTGGCAGCTTTAAGAGACCTACATGCAGAGTGCGCCAGCCACAGTAAGGTTAAAACATGCACAATGTATTGAGTCTAAAACTGAGGAAAACAGAACGACAAAAAAAAAAAGAATAGCCCATCAACAGTCCACCTGGCTTTGCTGACACACAGATGCAATAATCAACGACACATTTTTGTGGTTGAGGCCTCTCGTTCTGCTCACAAATGCATAAACACCCAGCTGTTAAAAACCGATAGCACAGGCCAGAAAATGTAAAAATCTGTGGTTGGATGAGAGAAAGAGACGAGATCCAGTAAAGACACCTTTTAATTGCCGTTTCCTGTGAGGTTATCTGTGTGCGTCAAACACACATATCATGTCTGATATATGTACGCACACACATACATGCACGTGTGTGGGAGGCCTGCGCGCTTTTCTTTGGCAGCACTTTCAAACAGAGCAGAAGATCTACAAACCCCTGAATTTACGAGGGAGGGGGTGGGGGGGGGGGTGTGGGGGGCAGAGCAGCAATGAGGTCCGAGTACCGACTGGTCCCCTTTTAAAATGGGATGACACGTGGCAAACCACTCAGCACCACAGACCTGCTAAGCCCTGCTAAAATGCACATAACTTTCATGCTTTGATGCCCCCCCCCCGCTCCCTCCTTGATCCACAGTGTGTCATCATGTCCAGGTTGTGAGACATGTCCTCTGTTCAACTACTAAACACATAACGCAGGAAGAAGAACTCTCCAGGAGTGTAATATGATGATACATTACCTTGCAAAGAAATATCAATCTTAAAATCAAGATGGACAAATATTTAATATATTTCAATAATAAGGCCCACTTTACAAAATTACAAGATTTTCCTTAAATAAAATCTATCCAATATAGATTCCAAAATAAGACATCTTTTGTTTAACAAAGAAATAAAAACATACATGAGCAGGAAACACAAAAGAAAGTCATTATCTCCCCTTTATTTCAGTATCTTGGAGACAGTTTATCCATCTGGGGGGTGGGCTGGACCTGTCTCCAACTGTAAACTGTAAATACTGTGGAATGATTCTGGCACCGGGTTAGAGGACTACCACATGGTGCCATGTTTCAACACGACACGGATGTTCCGACACCGCTTTGATAGCTCGCCAGTCTTCCTTGTGAAGAGATTATTTTACTTTTAAATACTCAAATTTGGCTGCTGTTGCTGCAAAAAACAAAAAAGAAAAAAACAAAAAAAACAAAAACATGAGCAATATATCAGATTCTGTTACATTCAGCAAAATGGTTCTAAAATTTTTAAATACAATTCTGGGAGTCAAAAGAGGAAACTTTCTGTCAGGAGGGACAGCGGGGGGCATTACTCATTTAAGGTTCTAAAGTTAAGTGCTGGTTAAGTGCAGATTATAGCGTATGCCACCCTATGACACCATGACCCCGGCTCTTCTTTGACTAAAAAGCTCCAGCTCGCCATCCAGAAGCCATTTCTGCCTCGCCACTCCAATCTGCACTAAGTACATTCTAGTCTACTCAATAAAAGGCTGTGGGGGGGGGCATGGCCTGTAAATAACAGATTTTTTTTTTACATCAACACCATCACCTCAGAGGATTTCTGTCAACTTTCTCTGGCTCTCACTGGATGACAGGAACACATGAGCGACCCGTTTCCTCTCCAATCTTCTCTCCTCGTAACCCATTCTACCAACTGTTCCTGTGCCAGGAACCTGTGGAACTCAGAACACAGATGCTCCTTCACACCGCTACACAATCCACAAACACCAGAGCAGTGGGCTTTTTTTTTTTTTTTAACCAAAACGCAGGTGGGAGTCAGAGCTGGTGCTGCTCACCCAGTCTCGCGGCTCTCACTGGATGTGGTGGACGCAGCGCAGGGGAAGCCCGGTTACTGTCCATGAGGGCCTTGTAAGGAAGAAAGGCTCCGTGCATAACAGGAGATGGAGTTTCAACTTTGGCCTTTAACAAGCCCCGCCTGCTCTGAACCCCCGTATCACGGAGGGACACCCTCCGACCGGTCGTAAAATCTACAGTTTCCGACAGGTGGGCTCTTCCTGAGCCCTCTGCCCTTTGTCAGGGAACTGGGGGAAGTTCAATGCTCGAGAAACAAATACAGGATTCAATGGAGAGCTGAGGCTCTGGAGCTGTTAGCGCACCGTCCGCCTAATCGAGTATCACATGTCAGATGGAGGGAAACAGCTGACGGTTGATGGGACGGAGGGGCTTGCATCACCTAGTGCCTCCCTACGGTAACTCTGCCCCTCGGCGACGGCAGGGCAACAGAAAACCGGCTTTAAGCTCTGAACTGACACTTACTGTTAACCTGCTTCCCCCTCTGGGATCTGCAGAAGCTTCCAAAACGACATGCTGAGCCTAAAACGAGAACAGTGACAACACCATGCACACAGAGATAGGTCCACGTGCGGCCAACACGATCACAGGCAGAGCTGGACATTCGATACTCTTGTAAGTTTTAATTAACCACTAAGTAGACATCTCTGCCAAGCTGTCCGTCTTCCTCTCGCCTGCATTTAGAAGCCCTGAGTCAAGATGTAGAGACAGGATTAGACGGAGCCCTGACCCCTGACCTTTCGGCTACTCGGGGACCTGCCCATCAAGATCTGGTGACAGGCCCCTGGCCTTCAATAAAACAACTCTCTGGTCCAACAAAGCATATCACTGTGGTCTGAGGCCAAGGTTTCGCATTTGGGAAATGTGGATTCAGGGGAAACGCAGAAAAACAGAAGGACACGCTGAAAGATGGAGACACTTGGCTCCCCCAAAACACTAAAAGCAAAGTTGGACTTGGTTAAAAGGATGAAAGACTGGCATTTCCTCTGGGTAAATGCAAAGTGCGGTAGTAGGAGCAATAACAGAGAGCGCAGACGGACTGTATGATCATCCAGTCCTGGCCGGTGCTCTTAACAGCACGTCTGGTCAGTAGCTGCTGGGTCATAAGGCCAGCGGCGGCCATCCAGTGACCACATAGCCGTCCTTGCTGAGGCTGCGCTGCGCCCTGCCTCTCTGATGGTCGAATGCTAAGGACAGCCTTTTGGGCGGTGTGGCGTTTGTTCCTTAAAATGGTACTTTCTAGAATGGCTACAAACAAGCAAAAAAAAAAAGATACAAAGTCTGAGGGAACACAGTTTTGACCTTCTGTGGGAGGAGTTGCCACAGAGAACTGAAATACTTTATAAGTCTATTCACAATAACGCTTCCACTGGACAAAGTAGAGTTTGTTAAATTTGGCCACCCCTCCGCTCCTATTCAAGGCACGGATGAGCATATAGAAGATATTTGTAGCAAAGGGTAAGCATAAAAAAAAAGAAAAAAGGAAAAAGAAAGCGCTTACTAAGGAGTAATTACCCTCGTAACACAGTCATTCCCTCTGACCTGTATCTGCATCTGGGTGACCGGCAGAGGAACAGAACACCGGGGGGGACACGATTGCATATAATCTCCAGCTCGCATTAACAGTAAAGTGACAAAGTTGCAAAAGGCAGAGCTCCTGCCACCAGGCCGACCTCTCGTCCACATATATGGAGACTTATAAATACCAGAGCCAGACAGCAGCTAGCAGAATGCAGGTGAGAACTGAGAAATGTGCTGAATCAGATCATCCCCCTGCAGGGTCCAATAAAGCACGGCATCATAGAAGCACGAGGAGCAGATGGGGAGCAGGTTTTCAAGGTTTTCCAGCAGATCCAGAACCTTGTTGCCATGATTATTCTTGTGTTACTTTGCAGTTTAGCAGATTTAAAAAAAAAGAAGAAGAAATTGTGTGCGTCGGTCATTTCATCAAACCATCAAGTAATTGGTCGTTTTGGGACACAACCCTCAGCAAGCTCAAACTGCACTTTTGCAGTTTACGTCAGCCGTTATTCAAACCTGTGAAGCAGTGCGAAATTCCAGCAGGAGTCTTTTTTCTTTTCTTTTTGTTTTTTTAAAGCACATCACAGTAAAGTTTGAAAACGATAGCAAGGTTTATGTCTTAGACGTGCACAGTTTTCCTCATCGAAAACGTCTTCTGTTACTGGCCAGTGGCTAAACGTGTTCTCACAGCAGAAACGGCTGCGCCTGCTCCAACACACCAACTCAAGTTGATGTTTAAGGATGTTAACACACACGCACAAAAAAAAGATGTAGAAGAAAGATCTGGGGACGATTCGCACTGCGAATCTGCAGTCCAACCCGGTCAGGCTGACTACTCGATATTTGCCACAGCACTGACAAAAAAAAAGAAAAAGAATCCACCCTTTCAGGCCAGGTTTGCTGGTAATCCAAAGTCCAATGTTCAGGTCAAACAAACCATTTTGCTATGGCTCTTAGAAAACGTCAGCTGTGAAACAAAGCACCACAGAAACTGTATCATAGTCTGAGGTTACAACCAGCCTCCCCGTTTTTTTTTTTTCTACATGTGCATTGCGTTTTATCGTGTGCAATCTGCATTCTTTTGAATTGACATGGTTGAGAGGAAAGGATGATGCGGAACAGGAAGCGAATTACAGAGAACCAAAATGAGTAGCTAATGTGAGGTCCCAGTTTGCATGCTGCCTTTCTTAAAATGCAGCAAACCAACCACGTTTGTCTTTTAAAAACGGAGCATGCCGAGACACGACCTTTCGTTTATTACCGAGGAACATGCAAATGTTTGCTCAAACGTCATCGAGCACTCATTAAATCTAATTTCAGGTCGCAGTGTGCCAGAGTGGTGATATGGCTTAAAAATAACCCTATAGTTACAACCTGCATGCGCCTCCTTGTCGTTTGTGGATTGACATGCATGGTTTGCGTGCATGTGTCTGAAAGGACAAATCTGTGTGGCTTCCTAAACTAATGATTTAAAAAGAAGATTTAAAAAAAAAAAGAAAAAAGGCTGACATAAATGGTAATTCGCTTCCTGTTTTTGGTCACACGTACATGAGGAGATCTGCTTGTGACGATTTCCACGAGACAATCCGGCCTCGTGAGACCCAAGAGCACTGTCACAACAGCACAGGTAAGAAGAAAATATGAAATTCTGAAGCAAAAGCAACCCATCCAGCCCCACACTGAGGTTACTGCAATGTTTCTCAGAGGAAGGCAGTCTCCCAGTTTGTCTAAAAACCCCTCTGGCACTCAGGAAGATCTCCCCAGCATGCCAGCCTCTCCCTTGTCAAGATTCGGGCTTATACTATAATACATCCAACACAAGAAGCAGAAGAGGAAACACTTGGGCTGGTGAGGGGACCTCTGCAGTACTGCACAGGGATTGGCTCTCCAGGGTTTCAGTTTCAGATTTCACACTCCCGGTCAGGTCTGTGGTTTTGTTCTACAGAGCTGAAGCAGCTTCTCTCTTTTCTTGTTGCAAAAGCTGCAGATGATGGAGACAGTGGTATCATATGAGGCCATTAGCTGATGGGTGACTGATTGGTGCCTGGCCCTCCTCGTGCCACAGAGAGCCTACTCAGGTCCTGCAAAAAAAGAAACGAGGCAAACATCTCACTTAATCCTTCTTATTTCAGATAGAATTAATCTTCTTCAGAGACATGACTGGTCAGTAATTACCCCATGAATTCCTCAAAAGAACAAGGGTTTTTTAAGGGGAAAGTAGAGGCTGTGCTCATCGCTACATTTCCAGTTTTAAGTGACAGTTTATCATTTTCCGGCTAAATGCAAAGATTATTATGGTCACTACACAGCACATTAGCTGGATACATAAAATGTAAAATATGTTACCATGAAAAAGCCAACTGGAAAGAGTACTTTCCAGCAATAATAATCAATAAATGGATAAACGTTCATCTGGGTTTTGATTGGGCTTCTCAGCATTGTTTTCACCAAATGGTTCACTACTGAACACTGTTATTTCTGGGATACTACAGAGGAAATTGTCAAGGACATTTTTCTCAAATTAGAAACACATTTTGCTTCATCGCAGTGCACATGTACAGATGCTTTAATGGGTTAGACAGTGGTCTTTACCCAGAGTGAACCGGCCACTTCCCTCAGAAGGTGTCTACAGCTTGACCACCAAGTCCCCTGTTCTGTGAACTTTGTCACATCACCACAACACTATAACATTTATTGTAAACACCCATCAAAAGCTGTGGAGTTCACCATGGGTAATTACCATCAGTTTCTTTCATTCTGTATGTTTTCTATATTTACTTCCGTTTCAGGGCTAAAGTCTGAGGCGCTCTAACCTGCCTTCTGATTATAGAAGTCCTGCTCAGGCCCAGCTGCTCTAATGATGTTCAGGTTGACGGTGGCTCCATGGTCGGCCTCCCGCTCCACTCCTGCCCTCAGCTCTGGCCCCTGACCCTTGCCCTCGACTCGACCACAGCTCCTCTCTGGAGGAGGCTCCTGTGGACTTGGACAACCGGTCATAAGAAATCCCCATGTGTTGCTGGTCGCTGGTGGGCAGCTGTCGTCTCCAAGAGGCCGGACTGCGGCTTGGAATGGGGCTCGGGTCATGGCCATCTGCAGCCTGGAGAAAATTAATGAGATAAAGACTAAAATTAGAATATTAATACTATACAAGGAATAGAATAACTCCATTTTCATAAAGTTCGGCTATCTTGTTTCAAAGAGGGGAAAACTAATAGAGCAAAAATTATACTTAATTTCACAATTTCAAAGTATGTAGAAGAACTTGGAGCATTTTGATAGTTCAGAGCCTTGTTAGGACACTTTTCTTATGTGGGTATTTAATACAGGCTGTTTATGTTACCCAGTGTTTGATGGAGAAAGTCTGCCATGTGGACTTCTGCCAGGGGAAAAATTCCCAACCAAAAACCCCAAACATACCCCAAGCTGAGAGATTTATAATTTGGTTGGCTGACTAGAAAATAAACCCCAAGTTACTTGTCTGTGGTGGCTGCATAGGCACGTCCCCTCTCATAACCTCAGTAACCCTGCTCTCAGAAAGCGAGAGTTAGATGACGGAGCAGTTCCTGAAGCACATAGGAACAGCACCCACTCCTGTAATTTCAGCTTTAAAAAAGCACCATAATTAGTGACATTTGGTGGGCTGGAGTTGGCTTTCGGTGCCGTTTTAGATGCATTCTCACTAATTGGCCTTAATGGAGCCCTGCTGGACTGCTTTTCTTCAGTCTCCAGGGGTAACAGACAGGAAACGAGTCACCATCCAACACTGCCAAGTGGGTGTGCTCAGCGTGCTCACTTCCTGCTCCGTTCGCTGGGGGAGGAAACACTGGAGTGGCATATTCTCCTTCTATGGTAAGCCACTGCTGCAAGACTGGAAGCTTTTACAAAGTTTCCCTGAATAGTGTTCCTCCTACACTCAATGGGAGGCTTGTGCTCTACAACACACTGTAACCACACTAAAATAGAAACCCTTTAAAAGAATACATTTGGCTTGTAAATTAAATAAAAAGTTAAGGCATTTTGGCCTCAAAGTATAAGCTGTTATACCAATGGAAAGGTTTAAAATTAAGCCTTTCAACAGCAGGGAAATTACAAAGCTTAGAATGGGCTAATTTTCCACCATGTGGCCCAAGTTCATTTTAGAGATTGGGGCTTTTCAATTTGTTTGGTTTTGTGTTCATTGAAACAGTAAATTATCACCAGGCGGGATGAAAAGTATTAAAAGATTAAACTGATCGCGCTTTTGAAATTCCATATTATATGACACACTTGTTCATTGCATAGAAAGTCAAATCAAGTATGGCTTCTACTCAGAGATGAGAACAGCATCAAATCACCGAAATCTGCCTTCAAGTACGTTTAGCCTACAAACCCATTACTCCACAATTTGTGGGAATAAGAAAAAAAAAAGGGCTTTTAGTAGAGTTCACACTAAAAGCCAAAGTGGAAGCTACATGTGAAGAATTCACTCTCTAATGCAGAAAGGCGTCCAGCAGGTTTATGAGAAGTAAAACAAGTAGGGTTGAAGCTTCTGCAGAACAAATCACATCCTTGCTTTAAACCCGTCTGTTCTTGGTCTCTAGCCCCGTTTGAAGGAAATGGCGTTGCACTGCCAACCCAAACTCCTAAATCTGCTCTCCAGCAAGACAATACTCTTGACACTCCAGGTGAAATGTTACAGAGGGGGTGAAGTGTTTTTTCTGGTTTACTAGTCATAATTTACCACTGAGGAAGCATTAAATTTATAACTTTTCATGGGCTGCTGGTGCAGAGTCTGTTCTGACCTACAACGAAAACTCCACAAAGAGTGTTGTTTTAGAGGGATGTTTCTGTGCGGGTCACATCAGGTGAACATTGATGGCTGGAGCAGCGCTAAATCCACACTTTATCTTACTGCCTGCCGCTGGTTTTGTACTCAGCAGAGGATGTTTTGGTATCTTGACCATCGGCTGTATCGGCCCCGCAGTCCTGTGCCAAACATAAGTTCATGGCTCATTCACATACAGGCTGAGGTTTCCTCCAGCTACAGTGGGAGGAAGTATTACAATGCTGTGCTGTTCAGCAGCCTGATGTGTGGAGTGACAATTATAATGGCAAGAAATCCCCATTTTAGCCATGAACCATTGAGCTAATGCCTAACAGCTCACCTAATCGGTGCTGTCATGTGTTTTAATACATGTACTTTGTTGTTACACTAGTGGCTTCCAGTGACTGCACTATGGCACAGTTTCATCCAAAAAGTCAAAAACAGGCTTACATATTTCAGACTGATAAATCAATCTCCACCAATCTGATACAATCGCCTATTAACAAATATGTGAACAAAACCAGGCAGGAAAAGAATAGAGTCCAAGCAAAATCAACCATCAAGACGATTTCTGTCAGTTTTAGTCTCAGATATTAATCTACAGCAGAAGGGTGTCCAGTTTACTTGGCGAAATTTTGGTATTCCATTGAAAACAACCAAGAGAACATAGGTCTGAAGTCTGTATTTTTAAAGGAAGCCCTTTTGACCCATGAGCAGCTCGACTCTGCAACTAACCAATTAAAAAAGGCTGAAAGGTGTCTTCTCTCACTCAGGCCCTGACTGCCCAACTCTCCTCATCATGGAGAAACAACACAGAAAAAGACTCATGGTGACTATCACCTCACAAAAAGAAAGATTTAGTTCAAATCTCAGCCTCAACCATGAATGCAAGGCTAACAGCGTGCGTGTCTGTCTTCGCGTTGGCCCTGTAATTGACTAGCAACTTGTTTGGGAAGTATCTTGTCTGTCATCTGGTGTCAGCCCCACGGCAGCCTTGAATCAGAGAAAGCAGACATAGAAAATGAATGACACATTAGTAAATTCATGTCATGAAAGATGCCGCGAGCAATGCTGCTGGCATCTCGGGATCTACATTTCCAAGATGTGTCTGCCATTTCTGAGGGAAGGCACACAGTAAAGAAAAATAAATTCACCCAACTAAAGCAGGCTTCTTCCGTAGAAATCTGGCCACACAGACTAACACATTTCTTATGTGGGGGCCTTAAGGGGGGGTTGACCCCTTCCCTGGGCAGAAGCAGAGCAGTAGATGTGATGTATCAACGAAAAACAAGCACTTCTGGTCATTTATTTTTGTGCGTCACGTTGTGTACATTTTGAGGGTAGTAAAGAGCTGGGGGAAAGTTTTTAGAAGACCAAAGAGGCAAGGACGCTGGTGAGGCTCATTAAAACTTTCATTGATCTGGATCTGAGTGTAACATTCTGAGTGGCATAAGTTTTAGCTTAGAGTGGGGGGCAAGTTTGATTGAACTTTTGATTAACTTGAGATGACAAGGCAGGAACAAAATGACATGGCCCTCAGACCCCTGTTTAAACTACAGAGACTAAGAAAAAGGAATCGTTGACACACTGTGAACATCAGCAACAGGTCGGGATGAGTTTTCTGAAATGAAAGGTCCCATTATCTGTACATGAGGCTGAATAAAGGAAAGTAAATCAAACCAATGTCAGTCTGCAGAGGTTATTCATGGCTATCTATAGGTGTTGGTGGTGTTGTCATTAAGGCGGTTCTCAGTTCTGGTGAATGGATTTTAGGGCCTCTTCTGTCCTCGCCACTACAGAGGATATTATTCCACATAAAAAGTGAACACATTTCCTGAGAATATGTTGAAAATACTCATGTGATTATTCTACTACTACTACTAATAATAATAATAATACATAGGCCAAAAAGACTTGCTCAAAGAGAACTATTGAGGAAGGCGCCTTGATTGAAAACACAGGTGGACTAAAACTTAGAGATAAAGATTCAAAGGTATTTGAATAACGATCCACATGATGTTCGTTGATGTCGACTAGCCTGGCTCTTTGTACTAACGATTCCCTTCTATCAACCTTTGCCACTGCAATCACAGACTAATCCCGAGTTCCACTCTCAGAACTGCAGCTGTATTTGTCTGAACCTCCTTCAATGGACGCTGTTCAGACCACTGAAATGTTCTAAAAAATCCAAACCAACAACGTCCGGCTCAGCTCCAAGACATACTTCAAAGCCCATTTATGTTCTGAAAGATTTGTTTTGCACTGTGGCAAACGTTGCTCATAATTGCTATCCAAATTGAGTGACCAGTTCAGGCATCTAACATCAGGACAACCAGGGGTTTAATGTGCCGCAGAGTCAACCGAGTGGCTTTAGGAAATTCCCACAACAAAATTACGACGTGCTCGGTGGACATAAAAAAAAAAGAAAAAGAAAAAATAACACTAAAGGGATGTCAGCAAGACAGCAGTTTATCAGGTCAACGCTGATATACCACATCAGATAGGGGCGTTTTTTAAGTTAACAGGCGAGTGATAGACATGGTTAGAAAGGAAACATCCTTAAAGACATTTTTTGGCATGTCAGGCCTTCAAGCTAAATGGTGGGAAGAGTCAAGTTCTGCTGAACAAGTGCCTGTAAAAGGCAGCATTACAGTGTTGAAGCTCAGTATTACACAGATTTCATTAAGCCCATTGATGCTAATGAGAGGCAGGACCATGCAGGAAATCTCTGCTCTCAGGCAATATTAGTTGCTACGTTTGAGGTAAGAATGATTTGGAATGAATAGTTAGGATGAATTTCCGGAGACTTTATTGTACCGTAAGTAGTATTTGAACATCTGTTTGAGCTAATGATGCTCTGTCCCACAGATCTTACTGCCACATTCTTCGTTACAGGCACATAAACATGTGAACACCACTTATTATAAACTTTAGAAGATCTACTATCTGAAATTACTAGTCAAAATAACTTTATGGTTATAACCCCTTTATGAATATGATATGTGGTGATGGTTCTTGCGAAACTGGCACATATTTTGGTCAAAGAAAAAAAAAATATTTTAAATTCTAAATAAAAGTTTAAGCATCACAAGACAGTGATGAGAAAAAGTTGCCAAATCTTTGGCATGCAGCACAAAATTCACAGATATGTGCCTTTGTCTCCTTAACGATGCCACTAGATTTATAGAGATAAAAAACTGATTTTTTTCCTAAGGCATGTATGTTCCCTGTCCACTGATGTAACAGGAGATGGCGACGGGTTTGAATGAGCGCACCTGCATGATAAAAAAGTCTGGCTCTTTGTACAGCTCTCTTGTCAAACTGGATGAGAAAAAAACAAGCAAATGCAGGCGGAAACTTCAAGTCACAAACACACCCGTATGTATATTTTATGGAGGTAATTCATTGCCATTTGTGTGGAACAGTCAAACGTATAAATATGGTGGCACCTATGTATGTCAATTTTTTTTCTTCAAGGTTTTTCAAACTTTTTCTCCCTGATGAGTCCCCCCCTTTTCAATCTTAGCTCTTTTTTTGCCTCACCCTTCCCTGTTTGTGCTTACTGTGATGGTAGAAGTGGAGTCGCAGAACTGCTGTGCTAAGCTTGAAGTCACAGAGCCTGGCGTCAGGGAAAAATACACAGTGAGCTTAAAAGATAATTTGATGCTCCAGGAGCTTAGACTGTGCTCTCCCTTGTTCATCCACAAGGTGACAAAGCTGCTGAACTGATGGAGTACGGAACTTTTCACACAGAGATGGAAAAAGTAATGAATAGGTAAACGGATGAGGCACAAAATAAGTCACTGCTGCTGGAAGTCCTACCTGTGGTTGTGGAGTGTATGGCCGGCTCCAGGACTGAGATGTAACCGGTGCGTGGGGTAGAGTCCTTCCCAAGCCTCCGGTTTCTACGGTGGGAGACGGAGACTGCCTGCTTCGGCGAAGCACTGGTTCTTCAGCTTCTTTCGTGTTGGTAGCACCACTGTTGATTCTACGCATGTACACCTAGGATGACAAAACGAAGAACAGCTTTGCAGGCAATCTCTCCCATTGTTAGTTTACTTATTGCATAAAAAAGCCTTCTGTCAGTCCCTCACCTCTGCAGGGGACGGCTTGGTTCCCTTTTGTGCTGCTGCTCCCCCACCAGCCCTCGCTTCACTGTTCATGTTCTCCTCCGTGTCAAACGTGGTTGCACGGTATGCCCTCCATGTTGTCGCAGCCTCTGCTTCATCCTCAGACGCGCCATCGGTCAGTGCCCTCGCTCCCCCTCGTCCTCGCCCCCCCTCGTCCACAGACGTGGCGCCCCGATTCCTCCATGTGCTCCTCACAGTCACATTCTTCATGTCTGGTAAACTGTCTTCTTGGGAGTGCTGGCTTTGTCTTTGGCTTCTCCAGCTGGTGACTGTGGTTGTGCTACTCTCAAACCCAGATTCTGTGTCATTAAAGTCTGTGGAGGTGGTGTCTGCAGATTGGAGGCTGAAGCTGCTGCGCTGGCAGCACAGGTGGCTGGTGGTGGTCTCCATCTGGGACGAGTTGTGGAGTTTTGACCTTGATGAGGAATCGCTGTGGTTGTCTGATGCGGAGTCCTGATCCTGGCATGGCCGCAAGGTGATCTCACTCTTGGGTATGGATATCTCATATGGTATGGAAATACTGCCATGGTGGTCACTGCTGGGGCCTGGTAGCAGGTAAAATCATGTCAAAACAACCAAAGGAAAAGCTTTCAACACATTGACAGCAATTGTTGATCATAATGATCAGTTTTTGTCAGGTAATCGTCAACAAAAACATGAATTTACAGTATTGTGAGATAGGAGAGAAGAGAGTCCAATCAAAAGGATAAAGAGTGTTAGAGCTGAGAGGGTGAGCATGTCCCATCAGGTAGGCCAGCACAGACAGTAAACATTTTCATGGAAAGAAAGTCCACCTTTGGAAATATGGCTTTTAACATGCCAAAAAAAGAAAGCTTAATCTCACTATATCTGTGATGATGTTCCTAAACAGCTCCATTGATAGGGATGAAGTCTAAGTAACAACACCATAGGCCTGTGTAAGTAATCATTTTGTGAATCACTTGTGCTAATAAAAACAGATCTCATGCACTGCGAGCATGACGGGTCATAAAAAGTCTGCCATTATTTCACAGTGTGTAAAATGATACTCAGTGTTTACACCTACCAATGAGGATGTTACTGGTAGATGTGTGGCGCTCTTTGATTGGCACTGGTTCGCTGGACAGGCTGCTGCTGCGGCTGCTGGTTCTGGATGAGCTTGGGTCATTGGGGTAGATGGTTATACTGCTGGTCATTTTACTTGTGGTGGTCACAATAGGCTTTGTCGAGATCTTGGGCTTGCCATTCGAAGACAAGGGTTCGGAGATCATTACTTCCTTCCTGTCAATCTCAACAATAGCGGGTTTGATCACCGCTTTAGACCTAAGAGCTTCTCGTGGGCTGCACACTCTCTGGATCTCAATCGCTGATGAAGTATGCATTGACCCCTGGTGGCCCGCCTCGGCCAACTGCGTCCTGTTTTGCAGCTCTTCATCAAAGGAACTCCTAGAAGAGGAGACCTCTGAATGCGAGTCATGTACATGAGGGTATCTGGCATACCTGGAAGCTGCGGTCCTACTGCTTACAGTTGTGCTAGTCTCACTTACAGGTTCTGGTTCAGAGGGTCTTGAGCTTGTGGATTCTGTTTCAGAGGCAGAGGAATGACCTTCTGACCCCTGGTCATTGGGTAACTGAGGAGAAATGTGAGATCTGTAGGCTGTGTATGATCCATTGGCTTTGGATAGAGTGGATGCCGCAGACACAGACCCAGATTGTTGAACCTGGTTTAGAGATTCCTGATCAGAGGCTGAAGCCAATTCTTTCTCAAGAGCAGAATGACTGTTGATGTTGGTGGAGCTCTCAGGCACAACATCAGAGTTGTTTGATTCGCTGTCACTTCCTGCATACAGCTTTGAAAACTTCTCTCTGCTCTTTTTGATATCCCCATCAGTGTGCTTGAGTCCTGCCCTCAGTGGCTTCTTGTCATTAGCTGCTGGAGGGTAGCGACTAAGTACGGAGGCTTTTTTAACATCATTAGCAGCCGGATTTACAGAGCTGTAAGTGGCCCCTCTCGTCTTCTCCTCTGTAACTCGTGCTGTGTCTCTTATTCCGTTATCAGATGAAATGATAGCAGATGGAGTTTTGGGTGTCCTCCTCTTGTAAGCAGGACTGAGGGCTCTCCTCCCAGACTTGGGAGAACTCTCCTCAGAGTGGCTGAGCTCTTTGCTCCTCAGTTTGGTTTCTCTCCTGTGCTGAGGAGAAAGCTCCCTGTTCCTGTGCTTGGGGGAGCTTGGTTCTGACACGGTTGCCGCACTTCTATATTTGGGCTTTTCTTGTCTGAAGCCTCCCTTTGTAATGATTTCCTCATTCTCAGCTTTGCCATTCTCCAGGACCTTGGCGGAGCTGTTGAGACAAATGTTAGTGCTTCCGTTGCCATGGTTATCCAGGTTACTAATTCCTTTTCCTCCAGTTCCACCTTTTCCGCACAGCTGCTTCCTTAGCTGTTCCACCTGATCGCTTAGCTCAAGAGCTCGGCTTCGTTCCATCTGGAACTTTTCATGAAGTTCACCATTTTTGGACTCTGAGTTCTTCAAATCCTCCTCCACAATTTCTAGTTGTTTAAGACGATTCTTTAGCCTCTCTACTTCCAGCGTCAGCTCTTTCACTTTGTTGTCTTCCTCTTGAGAGCCTTCAAGGCTGCTATTCTTCTCATTTTCAGACTTGTTGACTATGCCAATGTTCTCATCAGCTAATTTGAAGTAATTGAGGTCTTTCTTTGAGCTGGTCCGTTTTGTGGATGACAACTCATCCTCTATTCTAGACCTCATGAAATCTGCATGACTAGGGTCTGTCGACATGCCGAGGCGGTTTTTCTGCTGGTCCAGTTGTTCTGTTAGTTTTAGAATGAGCTTCTCATCCTCTCGCTGCTTCTCCAACAGCCTCTTTCGCTCGCTCACAAAGGCTTGAGTGAAACCCTTGAGTTTCTCAAACTCCATAGCTAGAGCTTGTTCCGCTCTGTCCAGTTTTGTCTCAGACCCTTCCACCTCCTTCAAACGCCCTTTGAGGGTTTCCAACTCGGACGAGAGCTTCTTGGTCAAGTTCTTCTCCTCATTGAGGCTAAGGCAGAGCTGGCTGCAGTCAGACTTGCTCTTAGCAAATGCTTCTTCCAGTTTCTCCAGTTCTGCCATCCTGCGCTGAAGACGTTCAATCTCTGCTTTCAGCTCCTTTGTAAGGCTTTCCTCCTCTTCCAGTTTCTCTCTGACTGTGCGGCACAGGTCTTCAGCTTTGCGTACCTCCTCATCTTTCCCCTGGATCTTAAGGAGACGCTTCCTCAGGGCCTCCACGTCACCAAGAAGTGACGAGTTGCTCCCCTCCGCCTGGATGACCTTGTCCTACAGAGGAGAAAATTCATTAGCGTTTTCATGCTTCACATTTCTTTATGTTTCCACCTGACTTGACTGACCTGCACACACAAACAAACCATGTTAAACTCATCCTGTACTGACCTGCAGGTCAAGAAGCTCGTCCTCAGACTTCTGCAGTTTGTTGGTTGCTTCTTCCAGTTCATCTAATCTTCGTCCCAGACTCTGCAGCTTGTGCTTCAGATGGCGGTGTGTCATGTCTTTATGATCGGACATGGCTACAAAGAATGGCTGTAATGTATCAGATCGGTTTGTGTTGTCGTCCTGATTATTTGATGACAAAGTGTTGAGGGTTCCACATCTGTGTGGCAGTGATGGCAATTCTTAAAAGTTTTCGAGAAAAGACTCCTTTCTTCTGGCAGTCTGTCTTGTGTTTTTCTAACGGTCTCTTTAAGACTTCAAAGTTTCCTCAGAGTGGTGTTTAGCAGACAAATCTGTCATCTGGAGGAGGGAGAGAGGAAGCAACACTTAGTCATCCCAGATTTGTCAATGACAATAATTAACATTCTGCAAAAGCAGCTCTATGACATACAAATGAGCCGACAGCTGACGGCAGGCAGTGTGCCAAAACAGGGTCATCGCTTAGTTTCAGTGAGTCACTATAACACACCAGAAAATGCATTAATCAACCGAAAATTTGCATTAATTAATTTGTGGCAAAAGTCTTCATTATGAAGATCAACCTTGCATGAAATTAACACACACAACTGAAACTCACCACATTTATTTTTTTTTACATCCAGCCACCATGTAGTTCACCTTGCCTGTCCTCCCAGTGAGCTTTCATGCTTTTATTGTGTATTGTGCGTGGATGGGGGTTTCAACATGAGTTGGAACACACAGACCCACACGCTTTGTTGACTCCGTGCTCTTGTATCCCGCATCGATCAATGCTTGCCTGCCTGCTTCTGCTGACACCAGCATATCTTAATAACACAGCTCTCCTCCGCAGCATGAGCATGACCGGCCCGTCACAACACCCAGGCTTTCGCAGCCCCTTGGGAGTTAAGTGATGATAAACAAAAACAGAGACTATTGGATCCAACCGTTATGTGGAATATTGCAATTATTACAACCAACACGGGGTTTTAAGCAATTTTACAAAAGGTTGCAAAAGGCCAGGATTTCTGCTGTCATTACAATGCGTTACTTCCAATATGAAGGCCGGAGATCATGAGAACACAGATCACTCGCACATTACCGTCTGTCAGCAGGGCCATCATATATCTAATAACTACCACTCGACTCTCATGCATGATTCAGGTAGTGGCTTTGCTCTGCTTCTAAATCCTAACATCCCCCTTCCCCCCATCATTCAGCTGAGCTTCTAACACTGGCCGCAAAGGGGGGTATCGACGGAAGGCTAGAATACAACATCTGTGCACATCATCACTTATCGACCCCCCAGACAACAAGCTCCACACAGCCCCATGTCTCCTCTTTTCTTCTGCTTTATTGTGTTCAAAGATTCTCTCTAAATCTACAAACCTCAACATAAAAGGACCGTTGGAGCTTTCTTTGACATTTTACTGCTATGAAAACATCAACCAGGGCAATAAATCTACTACAACATTCCAATATACAGAACATGAACCATGTGTTTAGATTGTCCATAAAAAGGTATAAACATGCCATAATGGTTTACTCCAGGGCTGCACAATATATTTTCTATAGCTTTTTCTGGTGTAAAGAAAAGCATGCACCAGTTTACCCACAGTTCATTAAATGTCTGATTGAAAATTAACCAAAATAGTAAGCTTTTAAAGTCAATGGATCAAAGAATACTTTATGACAAAGTACAATGAGAACTCCAAAGTATTCAACTGCAGAGCTTTAATATTTCTCTTCTTTTCATGAGGTCTAGTGGTTTGGTAATCTTCTCACTGTACATCAAGGGAATAAAACCCATGAGCTGAGGAGGAAAAATAGGAAAGGCAAGTAGGGGGAAATGTTGGGGAGAACCTTGCATGTTGAACACCAAAACACCTTTGTTACCAAGTCATTTTATGAAGTATCTGATATTCATCCGTGGCATGACCCTTTGCTGAATTTCTCCCTGTTGTCTTGAGCTGGTGACTGTGATCCAGAGTTGTTCTGACTGATCCCATTCCAGTGGTGCGCAAAGAAATCAAAAAGTCGTCAATAAAAGATCGGTAAATGGTTTAATGGACTTCAGTTCAGTTCTTTGTGACATCTTATTGGGCTGCAGAATGGGCCTCGTGAAAAAGTTTCTCAACTAAAAAGAGAATATTTAGCAACCTTTTAAAAAGGGTCTTCCAGAGGTATTCCTGAACAAAAAAAATTTAACAAAAAAACAAAACCGACAATTTCAAGATTACTTGAGTTCTCTGCACGAGTTTAGCTTTGACACATTCCTAATCATCTCAGGGTTTGATTTTGGTCCTTACAAGGCATTCCAGTTGAGCCCAGTCCTGGTTAATGATAACATTTTGCTAGGTCAAATTACCCCCGACTTGGCCAGCTGCCTGCCTCTCCTCTCATTCTCCCTTTATTTCTCTGCCAGCTTTCTGCCTTCCTCTCCATCTCTCCCCTCCATCTCTTTCTGACACGCACACCAGTTCAGCCAAGTGTGCGCTTTTAAGGGGTGGCAATGCGTGTAAAGTGACTTTGGCAACAGCCTGCCAGGGCAGAGCCAATGAACATACCTGATTTGCTTATAGCAGGCGCAGGGCCTCATTATATGCAATCAGGACGAGACAGGAGGGAGTTAGAGGGCTGACAGGTGAGACGGAGGGGGAAAAAGGAGAAAACAAAGTGATAGAAAATGGGTGAAGCCGAGTGTTTAGTTTAAGATAAGTTTAATTTGAAACCAAAGCCCACACTAGGACAAAGACATTCTGATAAAACTGTTCAACTTTTGGATATTGAAATTATTGTTATTTATTATTACTATTATTATTGAAATTAATTAATCATTTAAAATCTAAATTAACTTTAATTTGTCTCAATGAACCAAGGGGAAGCAGCAAACGGATGAAGTCCATGTTTTTAGCTATAACATTTTTGGAAAAGAAAAAATAAAGAAACAAGAAAAGAGGGCAGTAGGAAGGCTGCTACGGAGATCTGAACTGGATTCAAACTGAGTTTCATTACCTTTTTCTGTGCTTTGTTTGACAATTATGGCAATTCTGTAGCACTGAAGCAGAGAAACTGACCCCTTTTTGCAGACACATTCCTAATGATGGAGTGACCAGGGCACTGTTAGAGCCCCGCTCTGCCTCAGCTGATCATGGTGAGGATGCCTGAAAAAGCTCATTATATGGAGAATATCGCCAAGATCCCGAAAGTATAATGAAACAGGTTAAAACTGCATTAAGTGAGGACAGTTAGCAGTCTGATATGATCTTTAACAGATTCCAGTCAACATAATCTCATGAACCTCCACAACCGGTAATCTTTTTCTGCATTGAGGCTGCATTATGTGGGAGCTCAATATCTTACAAAAAGACAATTCAACATGCTGCCAATGACCCATCCTTGAGGTGCCACTCTTAATTAAAAACTTTTTTTTTTTAAATATTAAATTAAATTTATCATACAAGTAAACAAATTAAATTTCTTCAGAATACGAACAACTTTAGCCACCAATGTCTTCTTTAATGTATTCAAAGAAGTGTGAGTGACAAAATTCTCAATAAAACCAGTACAACTCAGTTCTGTTTGATAAATGAATGAAGACGCAACACAATAGAAAAGGCTGAATTGAATCTAATATTTTTTGTCACCAATCTATAAACAGCAAATCTAAATTATATTTACAATAAAGCTATAAACTTTCACATTGGTTCATCATTTCAGAATTGAACTGAATTACATTGAATGTATATTTAAAAAAATGTAAACTAGAAAAAAAAAAAAGGTGTTTCTTTCTTTCTTGGACTAAAATCCCAAAATCTGCAAATAAAACTTTGATGAGAATGTCCACCAACCCTTCATGCGCTCCCTAAACACACACAAGTACCAAGGTTACAATCATACACCATATGATTAAGGCTTCAGCCACTTTCCTCCTGCCTGCCCATTGCCTTTAGTACATTCTGTTCCCTCCACGAGAAAGAAAGGGGGGAAAAAATCCCCCTCTCTGTTGCACTTGACATTAAGTTGGAACTTCTGGGTTAGAAGCTCTTCTGCCTCATAAACAGTATTTAATAAAGGGCCCTGGTCCAATCAAAATGCCTCAACCACATCTTCGTAGAGGGGGTTAGTGCCAGTTTGAAGAAGTGTGATAAATCCAGTGTATCTGTACATTCGTGCGTTGGTGTGCGTGTGGAGGGACTAACTATGTGGATGTATGCTGGCGCAGCAGTGGAAGCCACAAGATGGTTGAGACCTGATGCTTGGCCTGCATTTTTCCGTTTTTCCAAGAAAGAGAAAACCGGTATCCCATAATGCTTGGTTTGCCTTTTCCTGTGCTGTCATGTTACTTTTTTACTCAGTTCCTTTCACTCTCTCAGCTTTGTACCGCTTCTGGAAAATTGGTCAGATGAAAGGCAGTATTGCATTTCAGAAAAGAAGGGGAAAAAAAGAATACCAACATCATGGACCAAATACAGTGGAGATATAAAACTGAACTGAAATACTTGTATTCTTTTTAATTTGAAATTGTGGCATACAGGCCACCTACGGTAAAAAGCAGTGAAATAATGAGTGAAAAAAGTCATAATCAGTAGAAAGAGAGAGATTTTCTTATAGGGAAATACGTGAAGTTGACAGCACTATCACCATAATAACAAAGCTCATGCTGTGGTGCTTGTCACTCACTTGACATGAACTCTTCCTTGTAACCCCAAATATACTGTTAGTGTCAGTTTTACACTTTTCTAGGTGATAAAAGAAGAGTTCCAATAAAAAAAACAACATGAAAAGGCATTTTAGTCTAATGTGCTTCAATAGCACCAGTTAGAAAAAATAAAACATTTTTTGGCCACAGGCTGTCATCTACATCAACAGTCTTGTTGCTGGGGTTTAATACCAGCAATCGGCTTCCACGGATGGCAATGATAAGATGATGAGATAGAACCGGGGGCTGGGGGGCACTAGATGAGAGGGGAGGACAGGAGTATTTGGGTGACAGAAAAAAACCCAGAGGAGTCAGTGTGCGAGTTGTCCGCTTTTCTCGGAATGGCATTATAGTTAATACAAAGACACAACATTTTTGGCTTCCCCATTTTATGACCTAATTGAGGATGCAACTTGAAAAAGTTCAATAAATCTCAAAGCCTTAAGAGTCTTTTGGCTTCTATCCTAATCTTAAAGGCTGCACAATAAATTAAAGGTTGTTCAGCAAAAATCTGTGCTGCATGCCAGTCGAAGCCTATGTGTTGCTGCTATAAGGAAGCAGGGCAAAGGAATTATATCAGCTGCTCTATTTAAAAACAGCAGCTACCAGAAATACTAGCCAGTCGAAACGTGGTTGTCATGGAGGAGGTCTGAAGCCAACGAGACATCATTTTACGCATTCAACTCAGAAAACCCCCCCCAAAAAAACATAAGGTATCACACAAAGGCAGACAGCGTAGATTCAGGGTCGCACAACAACTGAGCAGAAAGGTCTGTGTACTCACTCTAAATCCATGCTGCTATCCAAATGAGGCTTTGACAGTTCTAATTTAGCTGAGACAAATCTACCCAGGTCAGGTAGTTTATAGAGGTATGTGATCAGCAGGCACGGGTGAAATGTCAGCCAGGGCTGGTTTCAGTGTTGGAGACCACAGAGCAGAACTGTCAAACACACAGTAAACACACAATAATTCATTATTGTGTTACAGCAGGATGTGCTTAGCCCTTGATGGAAAATGTACATCACAAACGGGATCCTGTTCTGCTCTGCATATCGAAGACCCCGGCCCTGCTTGACCCACTAGAGGGTCTGAAAGGTCTTGGAAGGGGTCAACATTTCTTGTCCATAAAAAGTTCACTGCTGAAAAATATTGAAAATGATTGCTATATTCAATGATTCTTAGTAAATCTGTCAGAAAAAATAAGCTACGCTGTATAAGATAAAGCATCTGTAAACATACAGTCATATTAATGGCATAACTGAAAATCTAGCATCAGGTGAGACCTATGGATCCAAACCCTGACTATATTATATAAAACTATCCATTTAAAATACCCAGTGGAAGATAATGCATCCAATATATGTGTGTATTAATAAATCTTTTCACATGCAGTTTAGACAAAGTCATGCATGACTAAACTTTTCTTTTTCAGCAATCGCACAAATCTTCCATGCGATTTGCCATCAATTTCCTATGAAGCAACCCCCCCACCCTCACGTCTCTAATCCAGTACGTCCTCGGCATGCTGTCCTCTGCTTGGGGTCAGAGGCCACTGACACAGTAAACATGTAAAACACTCCACAAGAGAAACTGGGGCAAACAGGAGGGAGGGGATGATTAGGGGAACAGACTGTGCCTTTTCCTACAGCAGCTAAGCCAAAATGAGCTGAGCTAAACTGGCCAGAATGTGGGGAATAATTACTTTTTGTTGCTGTGGCCACTGTACAGACATATAAATACTGAGTGTGGGGACACAATAAAATGAATAAACTACTCTCTGGTTGTTCATCCAATGATAAGATAGGGACATGAGTGAGATCCGCATTCAGCTCAGTAACATCTTGTACCATCAAAGGTTTGGACACACCTACTCATTCAAAATGAAGAGGGGGAGAGGGTTGCATGAACATCTGACTGTTACTGAAAGTAAATCACGTGCAAGTCAAATGCAGATAAGAAAAAGCAAGTCAGCAACTGTATTTCACCATTATGAAAATGTCCAGAATAGTTGTGCATAGACTTGCGGGGAAATGTTATGTCCAGTAAAAAGACTAAAATAAAATAAAACAGTCATCCCAGTGCGTTTGTGGGCTCCATCTCTCTCAACTGCTGGTCAAAGCTGGTCCTCAAGAATTTACAGAGCAATACTGACAAAATCTTACTTTCCTATTTTGGAGATTCAGATCCCAAAGTGATTACATTTTTATCTGAAGAGTCAAAGGTCATGTTTATGATGGATAATGCATCTCTTATAAAACATTACTTTCAAATTTTCTTTCCCTGTGTGGCGTTTTAGGTTGTATTGTTATCAGGGGGAAAGGTTAAAAGTTGCAGCTAATCTCAATGTGCGTTCATAAAAGGCTGTACATTTGTTTAGGCCTTCTTTTAACACATACCTGTAACAGAGTCACAACATGACTTGCAGTGTCATGTTCTCAAGCAGAACCCTCGCAAGAGGAAGCAAACAAAGATGTTTCAAAGGGCGAACATCTTTAAACTGACTAAGAAAGTACTCATTAACAGAGCAGCCGGGCCTCCTTAAATACTCTGCGTGACAGCTGAAATCACTCCCAGGCAGACTTCAGCTAAAAACCTTATTTGACCCTATCAATGCTCGCATATATGTAGTGTTGTGTCTGACAATGAGCTGTACGAGAAGGAATGTGCACGAGTCACCGTTTCACACTGATAAGACAACATGAAAACATCACAACATGATGACACTTGTTCAGTGGGTAAACAGCAGCCCGTTGGCGTCTGCAAGTGCGTGAATACATGTGAGTCAAGCTGACAAAGAAGAAAGGGAGGGAGGCTGGCAGAAGTTAAGCCATCGCTGGGGTGATGACAAGAGCATGACAGTCAAATTATTTTTCCTTTTACTTGTTCGTATCGACATGTTTCTGAACAAGGCCCTGCAGAAATCAGTTATAGATGCAACTTTTGCAATAGTCACAAAAAGCCTGGATATCTTACAGTCTAACTGAAGTCTGCAAAAAGAAAAAATAGTTAACTAAATGTGAATTATTTAGCATTTTCTTCTTTTTGTTATCGTGAACATCCTGGGTTACAATCTTTATACAATTTGGCAGCATCCAGCTACATCAACACAAAGTTTTTAAAATGAAATCTGTCCTGAATACAAGAGGTCAGAAGTCAGAAGGACAGCGGTTAGTTTTTGGTCTATATTTATGCGTAAATACATCTCACAGGGAATAAAAACTTGCACAAAGTTTGCAGATTCTATCTGGGTAACAAATCACAGAAGGAGTACCACACAAGATCATGTGTAAACAGATCATTTGCTGGCCCTGCTTTTCACGCCCTTCTGGCACTCGCTGAACAGAGTAAAAGTAGAGGAGGCGTGCCGGCAATGATAGAGCAGGACTTTGCTCTGACGGGCTGAGCTGCCAACTGTTTGTCTAAAGAGTCTCTATATTTGTTGCTAGGTGCCACCAGAAAAGAAAAAGTATTTTTGCGATTGCTCTTTACATTAGCCAAACTGCTTGACCAGCAGCAGCAGATTGGATCCAGAGAGTGAAGACTCAAGTTGTGATAACTACATCCTCATTTAAAAAAAAAAAAGAAAGATAACCTAAGCAAAGACATTAGGCCTGAGTTACTGTATATTTGGATCTAGCCATGTTAACTTAGAGCACACTGTAAATAGACGGATGCGGTCTCAATGGACAGTACCATCCACAGCAACAAAGTATATAATGAAATCTATTCTAGTTAACGACATAGTACTCCAGAAAGGGAAAGTCTAATTTAGAATTTTATGACGACTGTGACATGACTGCTGACACCATGCAAATTCAGCTACAGATCAGTTTAATATGAGTAAATATTAGTATTTACAGGCACACTACTTCTAAGAATGAAAAGAAAGCTGTAAAACTGAACTAATGGATCAGAAGTTATATGCTTTATCGTAACAACTAGAAATAAGTCAAGGACAGCAGCATCTTCTTTATTATTTACTCCTTTATTTCACCTTCTCTACCACCAGTCTCATCCCCTGTCATGTGACCTGTAAATGTCACCCCAACCCCCACATCTGCTGCTGCATTCCTTCAGTTTCCTTCCCCTGACCTTCATCATTTTTTCTCTACTTTTTCTCCTAGACCCATATGTCCTTCACCTTATGGCTTAGAGAGGAGATGACGGCAAGTCATCAGACTGTTTAGCGGTAATTAATCAGGCATTTCACATGGCTAAGCCGCCCCACTAAATGGTGAAGCCACAAACGCTGTCAGTTAATTCAAATCCATCAATAGCTCTCAACATACAGCCCTTCCACCTTCTGCTTGGCTGCTTGACATTCTCATTTACTGCATTCCCATCCTAACACAGGGCCCGCAGACACACAGAGCTTGCTTGCCAGAGCTTCATCAACCCGAGCCTTGGCATCAGCAGCCTGCTGCGGCTGAATGGACAGCTCAGCGGCTAGCTGGTGAACAAGAAAGGAAGAGGGAGAGGAGGGAGAAAGAGTGCAGCGGCAGTAGAAAGCCTTAGTCGTACCAAATGTGCAGTGCAGAATGTGTGTAATAATGCAAATCAAGCATTGACAGAGGGGAGGAGATCCACAGAATGCAGAACAGGTAGCTGCTTTAGTGGATTAATGCAGCAGTGGATGCAGCAGCAGGGAAAGCCAAAGGAGAGAGAGCGAGATGTGCAGCAGGGGACAAGGTGATGACAGGATCTCCAAAGAAAAAACAGGGTGAAGTTGTCTTTTAACAATGCAGATGTGATCATAGCTAATGAAAAGCTGCTGATAAAGAGTGAGGGGCAGCTTTGGAGACATGATGTTCAAACCAGGATCCAGATTTCTTGTGTCACTGTCTGTTTTTTAAGGATTAATTCAGCCCTGACAGGATGCCGACTCACATCCGGAAGAATAAACGCGTAGAAATACAGGACAGATGCATAAAGCATGCCCTGACATTGACCTTAAACAGCTGAGGACACATTAGTAAGACAGTGATACATACATTGTTTAATCTTACCAGACTGTCACACACTACATGTTCGCGTTTGAGTACAGTCCCAGCGTCTGTAGGTGTGTCACTTCTGAGTGACTTCAGGCTACGGGGAAGGAAACGCGGCGCCGGCATTTGTGCCCCAAAAGGAAGCAGCCTCACAAAGAGCTGAGGAGGGGCGGAAGAGGAAGAGTGCGAGGAGATGGTGGGAAGGGGAGGAAAGGGCTGGCAAGGGCAGAGGACCAGAAGAACGAGAAGAGGAAGAGGTGACGGAAATTTAACTGAGACAATAATTCATGGTCTGAATTGATATGAGCAGCTGGATGATGAAAAGCTTTCACACACAATAAATCTACACTTTGGTAAGTTTTCAAACCCAAAAAGAAATTAAGGGGGAAATGGCAATTGAAACAATACATTTTAATTAAATGTACTGCTGCAGGAAAAAAGAAGAATGGGAGACATTCTTATTTATTCAGTTATCTTTTTAGGAACAGTGGAAAAAAAAGTGTGAAAAAGTGTAACTTACTTTAATATGTAGCTTTTTGTCTTAGATAGTTTAGGCTCCCCTCCAAAGATTCTCCATCCTGTGGTTAAAAGACAAACACACACACACACAGGGGCAATCAGGTTAGTAAAAGTTGAGCTCCGGTCACCATGATATCAAGGCATACGGTACACTCATGCTATCTTTCACCATTGTCATGTTGAGCAGTTGGCAAGGCCCAGAGGCTGCGCCACACTCACAATGCAGTCACTGTAGGGCACATTGTTCACAGTCAAGCTAACCGGCTAAGAATGAGCTAACTGCTCAGATATGGGACACATTCAGTCTCTGCAATAGACTCATGCATGAGCAGACAAGCGATGTTTGGCCACGACAACAGAAGACTCTATTCACTTCTCTGGGGAGGCACTGGTACACACACACGCGCACCATTATCATAATCATCATCATCATCATCATCATCCAGAAGCTCTCATCTGCTTCAAAACATGTGCAAACACACGCACACACACACACACACGCACAGAGAAGACAATCCAGACTTGGAGCATTCCACTACAGTAGCATTCCATATGTTTGGTTAAGCACAGAGAATCCAGATCTAAGACTAGAGTCTGGACTGAATTTAAAGGATGACAGAGGGGAGTCAAGGGAGGCAGAGAAATGAGGAAGAGGAGGAGGGCGGCCGATTGGGGTATTTTCCCATACCCAAGACACTTGGGTATGGGGCTGGAGTCCAGCCGCTGGACATGGACAAGTACATCCTGACAAAATAGCTGAGGAGTGATGTTTAAAAGACCCTAAACAGGAGGAGAAAATGGGAAAAAGATGGGAATAATCTCAGCAGTCAACAACGATTCTCATTAACAGACGAAAGGAAGGAACTCAAACAAACTTCAGATCACAGAGTTTGTCTTCTTCCTGGTTGCTGATCCAGGCAAAGAAACCATACCCAGGCTGACTAAGGAGGGGGAGCATTACAAAAGATGTTCTCAGTGCTCATCATTCATTGCAGTGTTCATGTAACTGTTGATGGACACACAGAATCTGTCTTGTGGGTGCTCCTGTCAATCTCACTTCCTGTCTGTGTCTCAGTCAGTTCCTCTGCTTCTACTCTTCACGGGAGCCAGTCCTCCTCTTCTCAGCTCCGCCATGGCAGGCTCATAACATCCACATGCAGTTTCTGCCGAATCATCCAGCATTCTCACGGTACATGTCAATTTTTTCACGCTCCACTGAGCAAAGCAACCCCCGTCCCGCTGACTACAGAAAACCCTGTGTCATATGTGAGCAATTTAAAAAATATGGAAGACACATGTGACACAAATGAGACTGTGTGCATTCTGAACAATCCAGACACTGAAATACCCACGATCCGTGTTTGTCACTGTCTGTTTGTGTTGTGTGTTAAAGTGGGGAGGAGTACGGGGGGGAATGGGGGGGCGAGCGGTCGTAACCAAACAAAACTGAAAACAGCTGTCTCACTCACATCACCAGCAAATGCACACACAGCAAAGCAGGCTGGGTAGATCATTGTTGTAGTCAGCAGATTCAAGTGAAACTGTTATCAGTCACTCATCAGCTCAGGTAACTCACAGAGCCATCCATTCTCACCGTCGAGTTCATCTATTGAGCTTTGATCTTTTATTTTGATTCAAGATGCTTTTGAATTAAATTAATTATGCCATAAATACATAAATAAATAAAACTGACCCCAGAAAAAGAATATTTTTTTCTTTTTTCGTCAAATCATTCAAAAATGATGGAAAAACAGACTCAGTGGCTCATGTAATCTAACAACTGAGGACACATTCATAACAAACGCAGAGAACAAATGTGATCATAACATTACAATATGCAACATTATGTTTGCTATAAGCAAACAGAATTAAATGTAAAACATCTTCGCTGAATAAACAACGCAACTAGATTTTATAGTCAAACTGTTCATTGGTAAATACTTAAATACTTTGGTCCAGGTATCAAACGAACTCCCTTTTTAAAATGCAAACTGAGTCATACTTTTAAATCTCAATTTAAATCAAGCATAACTTGCGTTTTTGCCCAACACAACACAATGAGGTCTGAGCGGCACAAAACGAGCCGGCCTACTGGTTCTGTATAGCGCGATTCAGTTTTAGGGTGTTCTTTGAATAAAGCAACAATCCTGTGATCATTCTTCTGTGTATCTATTTAAGTGCTGATAGCACTTCTTGTTCTGGCATGTACATTCATGTACAGACGCTGCGTTACTGCATCATTTCCCTCAATCTACAACTGCTGACGTGGCTTACTGTTCCATTTGACTCTACAGGAGCATTTTGTGCCGTGTTTATTTGTTGGTAACGCAGTGAAAATAGAAAACAATTGATACAAGTAGATTTTTCAGCACGTGCTGTCTAATCTCACAGATGATGCAGGTCTAGGGAAAATGAGCAAATTGCTTCACACAAAGGAATCTGACAGAGGATGCTTGATTGTAGATGTTTACCACAAGAGATAAACACATTTGAAAAGACAGCAGGAAAAAACTAATTATCGGACAAGTGTGCTTAAGCAAGGAGACAAAAGGGAAGAGGGGCGAAGTCATGCTGAATTTCTCTCACTGGAGAGCATTTCGAAGCCTGAAACCCCATCTTGGCTTCCAGTGGCCAGACGGGCCTCGTTTGCATGGGAGCCCATTTCCTGTGTGTGATTAGCAGGAGAGAGAGAGTGCCTGTATGTGTGTGCATGTGTGTGTATTCATGTGTGCGCACTGGGGGTTGCAGTTCAGAGAGGTCTGGGGTTGTTTTGTCTGCTAAGGGGGAAAGGAATGCCCAAATCAAACACAGTGAACAGGATGCCTCGCAAGAGAGAAGGTTCAGGGAAAGAGACAGAGAGGCTGAGAGACCGCACAGATAAACTTTGTGGAGAATGATGGCGAGAGATGGGAAACTGAGATTAAAAAAAGAAGCAGACAGCTGGAGCTAATGAAAGAAAGGAGGAGGGATGACCAGGGAAGAACATTACAAGTGGCTGGTTTTTCATTTGCTGCCACAGAGGACTGCAAAAACAGTATTCCTCCAACTGATTTCCGGCAGAGCAGCAAGGTGGGGTAAGAATTTTGACTACAAGCTGATGAGCTGTAAGACTGAAAACCATTCACCTTTTAAACTTCACTGTAAACCAGCAGAACCAGCCCTAATATCTAATGACTTACAGCCCTCCCTGCTGCACAAACAGCTGAGGACTTCACACGCTACTGAAAACACAGCCTATTTCAGGCTGTCATTCATTATCCAACACCAATAACATGACACACACTTATGTCACAGAACAACATAACTAGTTTCACACCTATGAAAAAAATCTGGTATGCTAACAAAGAAAAATATGAGGTATATTTGGATGAAACCAAAAGTAACAAACAGATTCAAACGCAATGCATTTCACATTCCAGTCTGAAGTGATTTAGCAGAGTCATGAAGGTGTGAAGGGGATTCACATTTAATGCACCTTGAGATGTTCCTGGATTCTCACAATATTTACATAATCACAAGAGAAAGGATCTTGCCGGTCTCCTGGTTGTGTGTTTACGATTGAGGTGCAACAGGCCGGTTTGGGTTTAGAGTGTGCCAACAGTCAACAATAGGTGCCCTCACAAAGCAGGTAACATAGTTGCCTATGGAATCACTTATACCAGAACTAAAAGGCTAAAGAACAACAGGATGCCTTTGCTTCTCTCCTAACTGAATTTGACCTGACTTCATCACCTGGTTCAACTGAACTCAGACAATCTTCGTTCAGGAAACTAGCCCAAGGACATTTTTATGCAGCACATTCAACACAAAGCGGATGTGCTTTCATTGGTTGTGCAGTTCCAAAACCAATAAAGATTTAACGACGGAACCTTTGGAATCTTTTCTTTTTTGGTCTCTTTGTTCAATCAGGACGTGTTTAGTGAAGCATCATGGCAGATAGAGTTGTGAACAACACACATATAGTAGTTACAGTAGCGTTACCGTGAGCAATTAAATGTTAGCTCAAAAAAAGCTTTTTTATAACCTCTGGAGATTGTATAAATGCAAGTTTACAAAGTAACAAAAAACAGTGTGTGACTCAGTTTCGTTACCAAACACTTCCTCATGTTGTGTGTGCAAGCTGGACCCTGCCCATGCAGGAGTGAGTTGTTGCTTGACTGATTGAGCAGAATTGATAGGCTGCTATTGTTTCCTTTTAAGGGCAATTGTGCCTCAAATGCTTGGCATGGCTGGGAGTCCAGATGCAGATGGCTGGCAGGAGAGATAAAAACCCTAATTTAACCACATTCTTTGGTGCAGTCCAAACCTAGAGTGGGAGGAGGTAAGGGAGAAACACAGTAAAAGATACACAGGGATGGGAAAGATTTGGAGTGGTTTTGAAAGAAAGAAGAAGAAAAAAAAAAGAGATGAAGGATAGAAGTTTGTCCAAGTGGGTGGGCAACACTCAGTCTTTGTTATGAGCACCAATTTTCTTAACCTTTGTAAAAGCTTTATATTTCTATCTAAATGTGATCTCCGAGTATAAATAATAAAGGAAAAGGGATGAGGGGGAGGATGTCAGTCATGTTGATTGACATTCACAAAAAACTCAGGCCCAGAGAGAGACAGATAGGTAGCTGAAGGTTGGATAATAAAATATTCCTGGTAATCCACAATGTTCCAGAGTCAGTGTACACAAATGAGCCACATAGTGACTCTAAAGTGTTTTGGGATTTGGGCTCTCTTGTTTGAGTGTCCCCACAGATACACTCATATCCAGTGTTAAGCACACGCTGACCAGCAACACAATGTTAATTACATTAAAATGAACAGCTGAAGAATAACTTTGGCTTTTCAGTCATTTATCAAAGTTTTCTCAGAGATACCGCATCCGGTCTCAAGGTGAGGACCCGGCAAATGGTGAAGATCAAAGTAAGCTCGGTGAGAAGTGATGACTCAAACATGGGCTGAGTCGCTGTTTGCGGTTGTAGTCTTCCTATAATAGCCTGTGTAAAGACGCTCAGACAGCTCACGCTTTTTCAAACTGAGACACTGTCCCGTAAACATTAGTTCTTGATTGATTAATCAAAAAGTTGTAAAGAAAC